CTTGCTTGCAGAGAGCACAAGATTTATAAGGTGGCAACGTAATTCATCCTTTAAAGATAAGTCGCACAGCCAATGTTCATTAGAATTTGTAGTTGAAATTCACATGTAAACGAATTCACTTTAATTATACAATATCTCATTGGCTGTTTTCAGTTATCGTTTACAAAGCGCTGCACTGAGAGATGGCGTTCCAATTGACTGTTAGTTTTGTGGAACCGAAGTTTTGTTATCTTTGAAGTTAACTGACATAACTAACCATTGAGAAATCTGCACTAAATCAATCTATTTATTCTTACATAAAAACAATAAAATTTAAAATAAAGATGAGAGAAAAATAAACAACATTAAGTCTTTATCTGTGCTTTTTGATATCATCATCAATATACGAGTACATACTTGAAACGCTAAATATTTGTATAAATTACTAAACCATATCAATGGAAAAGAAAGTAGTGTATGTAGAGGTAATAATAATCACGCTTAATACTAATATAATATCTTATTTTCGAGAAAGTTAAACCAATTTTTTAAATTAATGACATATTTTCAAGCTTAGATCACAAGCAATATCAGTGCTAATTTATTTCCACTGACGAAAGTCACATTAAATACTACTGATCAATTATTAATATCTTGAAGTCACATTTTAGTGCTGTTCCATATTAATTTTCACAAACTGCGATTCCAGTTTAAATACTCGTATACCAAATTTGAAAGAGTTTGCGTCAGTCTGGAAAACTGTTAAAAAAGCCTTAACATTAATCGGTCAATATAATGAATGGCTTTAATGCCGTCATTCGGATTGAATAATGAATGGTTCAGTATTTTTGTAAAACGCCAACGCATTTTTTATTGGTAATGTCAGAGTCCCATTCATAATGCAGAAATGCAACAAAAATTAACATGTGTGATTGCGATAGCAAGCAAGCAAGTTGAATAACCCGCGCTTCTTTTGATAGATGTTCATCATTCCAATATTATGAAGGGGTTACATATTGTGTCAGTGGAATACATTAAGGCACCAACATTTTTTAAATATAGCAAACACATATTTGCACTCAATGCACACAGTATTTTCATTTTTGGATATTTTAAAATTTTATTCGATACGAATGGTACATACATTTATACTACTACTATAAACATTTTCATAAATATTGTAATGAAAAAATCATATTAATTCTTTTAAGACACAAATCAGCTAATTTAATCAACGACAATTAAAAGAACAGACCCGTTACAAAAATAACGGTTTTGGAACTCTCTTTTTCTTTATTAATTAGTATCTGTAGCTAGTATATTAAATGAACAACTGATCCTTAAAAACTAGTTGCAGGAATAACACAATTTTAGAAGTTATAACTTAAGTACTTACAAATAGTTTTATACTGACAAAAGAGATTTTTGGAAGTTGATAACCTCCAATCTTTGCTCAAATGCATGTTTTTTTTCACCATATGATTTACCACTATTTAACTATTGAATATGATTTTGGATATAATTTTCAAATCCTTTTTGATATAACATAATATGTTTTATCGTTTTCAAAGTAATCCCCCTCAAAAGCAATGGTTATATCACACACAACTTGTCATGCTGATCAATAATATATACCATATAGTATTTTGTGGGGGTCTACCACGCCTATTGTGAAAAATACAATCGCACTTAACTAGTATATCATTTTATCCTTGGAGCACAGGGTATGCAAACGTGGAAAATCTTTAGTTGTCTGTAGCAGAAGCAAATAGAACCCATCCACAATATGAAGTACAACTTTTGTTAATTAAAGATTTATTTAGGCTGCACTGAAATCAAAAAGTTTCCTTTTTATAGCTTGTACCCAAAGGGTGAAAGGCTATACTAGTTTTGTGCGAATGTATGTAACATACAGACCCCACAAAGTATATATATATTATTGATCAGGATGACAAGCCGAGTCGATATAATAACGCAAGGATCTTAGGAAGTACAAGAGCAAGAATAACCAAACTTGGTATCCAGATTCTCCTAAGTCCGAGAAAGGACGAATTTGTGTTTTTTTTTTGATACACCCCCCACTCCCCCACAATTCGTGTTTTTCATAACTCCTGTAATTCTTGGAATTTTGAACTCAAATTTGGCATATACATCTGAAGAAAGTTATAGCCATAGATAAAATCGCTGCCCATGCTCTGCCCGCAGCGCTGCCAGCAGCTGTTGTTGCTGCTTTGGTTCAACTTTGTGCTGCATACATACACGCATATAAACACGCACGCAGTACACGAGTCTGATGTAAATGTATGCTGTTGAAACTGTATTCAATTTAATTTGGTGGGAGGTACAGGGTATTTAAAAGTTGTGTCTGCTCGACTTTAGCATTCCTTTCTTGTTAAACAAAGAAAAACGGTTGAAAACACATTTGGTTAAATATTTTGGAATTGTTACATTTTTGAAAGAAACCTTACCGACGCACTAAGTATTTGGAAATGATTTTTCACAAACTGTAATTGTCTTATAAATTCGAAACGCACTGTACTTGTTTTACATACGAGTACGTACAGTTGTTTTCTATTTGTAATAATGACGGCTTTTGTATTGAGTAATATTAAGGTGATTATTGATACATAACATTGAGCATTATTTGATGCGCTTGTTCGCAGTGAATCGATAGTCGGGTCTACCGATCTTTGTTAAAGACTTAAAATGAAAAGAATACAGACAATATTCTCAAAGTTCAAATATGTTTTTTTTTTATTATTAATTTAGTCCTGTTACACAGATGCTGACACAATACGTATTTATAAATACAGGGTGCGCCATCTTTTATGTCGGTATGTAAACATTGAATATCTTTGAAAATAAACAACCGATTTTCAAGTATAAGCTATTTTTATTTAATTTGGTTCTGTACAATTTCTTCAGACTAATTTTTCAACACTGGTCTACTCAAGTCAATCGGTTCACTAATGACAAAGTTATTCAATATTTACATACCGACATAAAAGATGGCGCACCCTATACTTATATAATTAAAAACCAGTTGATTTGAATACTTTTCGCAATTTTTGCATTTGTATACTTGTAGATACCCTCACATAGATCCTTTTGTATACTTACTATGTACATATGTATATACGAGGCAAGTCCGAAATGTTGTGATTAATCGTCTTTTTGTGTGATTCCGCCAAAATTTCATCCATATCGATAAAATAGTTGTTCGACAATCGATTAACTATGTCGATATCGATTTTTTTAAAATAGATAAAGTTGAATATCGTGCGGTCATAACATATTTGTTTAGGAATGGCAATACGCCTACGCAAATCAAAAACGAGGACGCTGTCTAGTGGAGCTCTTCCCCATCGTTTGCGACTGTTGAGTCCTGGGCAGTTAAATTTTAATGTGGCTGTTCGGGCTTGAAGATGAGAGACGTCCGAGGTGCTGAAGAACTGTAACCACGGACGAAAAATCGCCACAATAAAGCAAATGGTACTGGACTACCGCCGAATAAAAGTAGATGTCTAAAGACAGCGTTTTCCATATTTTAAACTATGATTTGGACATATGTTGGGTGCCGCAATTGCTCACTGTCGATCAAATGCCGGATCCCATTCATCAGCAAAAATCCATAATTTACGCTTTGGAGGGTGCTGAAGCAGTCCCTCCTTACTCTCCAGACCTAGCCCCAAGTGACTTTTTTAATTCCCTAAACTCAAAGTTGTGCTTGGTGGAAACAAATTGTCATCACATGAAGTGGCTATTACCTTCGTGAACAACCATTTTGCTGAGCAGAAAGGCGAATATTTGTTTGGGTAGGGTTGAAGAGGTCGCTGAGAAATGTGAGCTGACTTAGAAGGAGACTATGTTGAAAAAAAATTGTTTTCTTTAATGTCAGACTTGAAACATTTCGGGCTGCCCTCGTATCTTAGAAAGTAATATTTTTAACGTTTTCTACTAGTTGACTATCGCTAATGACGACTTTTACTTCTATAGTTTTGAAAATACCCCTGCGCCTTATTCTTTATTGTTTCTGAGACAAACTTTTCCTATTAGGCAATCAACTTATGCCTCTAATGAATATTATATACAAGTATAGCAACTCGTCTTTGCTTTTTAAACTGCATCGCTAATAGCCCCGGTTGTTGGTCCATTATACTGAACCTTGGATTTTGCAGTATATGACTTAATACGTTACTTCTTAATTAACGAATCTGTTGGAAATTTAATTTTTAATTACAAATATTGTATGTAAAAACCTGCATTCGTAAATATTAAACATGTGCACAGACCAATTAAGAAAATCGGTAGAATGCCTGCCCTTTAAACACCCCAAGCTACTTGTAGTTGTAAACCTACAAAACGAATTCTAACAAGTATATTTACTATATTTGCTTCATGTACATTTATAATATATTTATATACATATGTATACATGCATACTGCGTTTGAGTTGTTATAATTTTATTCGTGTAGTCGTCGTTATGTTGAAAAAAATATAATAAAATCATTGGTAAATTTACCAAAAAAACGCAACACTTAGAAAATTTTGATTAATTTGTTTCAATGATAAAGTTTTGCTTAATTGATTGAAACTTGAGAACGTGCAGAGAACCATTTACAAAAGAACAATGGGAGAAACAGACTTGTATCTTAGTTGAATTTTTTTTGCCAACACCCAATCACGGACACACACAAACACACATAATTAAAAAGTGCTTAAGGACCGTACGCATTACAACTACAAAAAAAAAAACTACATTTTAAGTGCTACTGTCAACAGAAGCAATTAAAGCAAAAACCAACAACGTCTTTTTTCTCTTCTCTTTGCATTTTAAACTGTCAACGTACACACAAAAAATACAACTGCTGAAATATGTTAACTTTCGTGAAACAAAACTGATTTGTCCGAAACAAAATAATGACTGAAAAACTATAATATAAATAAATTGCCGCTCTTTGCAAATTGGTCTGCTGTGCTGCTTCCAAATTGTTTATCTATTTCTGGCTAGTCGATGCAGAAGGTGCCAAACAGCAACAACAATCACATCAACACGAACACCACCACCACCAACAACAACAACAATGCTGTTCCTGGACTATTACCTGTAAATCATAACAATGAAGCTAATTTGACTGCAGCCTCTACAATCATCAACAATAACAACAACAGCCATAGCTATGCAGCTGACAATGACAACAATGTGATGAACAATAGCAACAACCATCATGTCAAGAAAAGCAATAATGTAAATGACATGGACGTTGATCGATTATGCATATATAGCAATGCCAACAATGATGAAATGCTCGGCTTTGGTCTGCCCGGCAGTGTTGGTTACCCTACCACCGGTGAGATGGCAGCTACTACAACAACAGCAACTAATGGCGATGCCAATGGTGATGCCAACGACGGCGGTCAAGCACGTGTGGTTGTGGGCGGTTTTTGTAAGAATTGCAACGTCGTCTGTTACATTTTATTTGATTCCCCGCTGGGACGAATGTGTAAAAGTTGTCACACACACTGGAGGTATATATATTTCTATAATCTATAATTATTATATACATACATACGTACATGCAAGTCAAGTTGTTCAACCTCAAGCTAATGCTTAGTTTTTCTTTCTTTTCTCTCCCACCTCCCATAATATATGTACATAAAAATATAAATATAAACAATGCACTTTATATATATGCATATATACTTTTATATATGTATATACGTATATATATAAAATGTAATAATTATATACCTTGCTGGTAAAAAAAATTAAAAAAAAAAAAAATAAAACAACAACTCGCCGCTACTACAAAAATTCATAATTTTTGGGCACTCCTTTACCGTATTCTATCTCCCATTTATTAAATTAATTTCGCTTGGCTGGAAAAATTATAAACTCGATTCCACTTTTAATTTCTCAACAACTTTAATGGGAACGTCACACCATCTCAGCCGCACAGGCATTCGCCGTCCTATTTCTGGGCCGGAGTGCATTGTGCCCAAGCGTTCCACAAACAACAATGCCGCAGCAGCGGCCGCCGATCGTTCCAAGCGCAAGCCCCCAAAGGGCATGTATATCAATCATGACGATATCACCGCATTGGCAAGTTGCAAAAATCCTTCTGAATATCTTGCCGAAGGCGATCGGAAAATTGCATCCCTCATGGCCGACGTAAGAAATAAGACTAATTTATCTACCTTTAATTTTGGTTTACTTTTTGTTTACATTAAGTATTGTTTTTAAAATGCTTTATTATTTTATTTGCGTTAATGTATTTGTTTGGTAATGTTCTGTTGTGTTTGTCCGCACTACAAGTAAAACAACATGCATTTTGGTTCGTTAGGTTCGACTAACCGTAATTTGGGATGTTGTGTGTGTGTTTTTTTTTCTAAATAGTTCAATTTCCAACACCATTCTTAATATAGGGAAATCATGTATTTTTAGAAGACAAGATATAAATTATTGAATATGCGCATGTTTTATTAATTGATTTATTAATCAAAATATACACCGAATAAGTCTACTCCGAATTCCAAAGACATGTTCATGATCATTTCTTCAGTTCAATTTTTATATTTTCTATTATCATTAAATCGGCTAAAATCGGATGGTTTCCCATTGCGGAGCAACAGAAAAAAAAATATTTTCACAGAAAATAGATAACTGTGTAAAATATTGTGGTCAGAAATATTGTATTTTCGAGATTGGAAAACTATGAAGCTTTTAGCAAAAATGTAGTAAGAGCATACAAACAAAGAAGTGGCCGTCATAGTTTGTAGCTGCATTGTGTTTTTATAAGCACCGCAGCATACAATGTCCCACCTCTTCCAAATGAGACTTATCACATATATCCAGAGGTTAAGGTAGCACATTTGCTAAAATATTGAAAGCAAATATCAAATTATCAATTAATTTTAAGTACTTATAGATGCTTAAGACTTAAAACTAGAGAATAAGTTAAGAATGCTAGTAGTCCGAGTGTTCAACTCTCTATATGTACATATACGTGTATACATACATGTATGTATACTGCTTCGCAATATTTGAATGGATCATATTTATACACTCTACTTGAAGAGCAAAGCGCCCATTCACACAGATATAAAAAAAATTATACAACAAATATAAGCTTCCAGTTTCATACATAAAGAAAAACGAATCTGGATACCACATATTAGGATTATAGCTTTAAAAGTTATTGAATATAATGATATAACTAAAAGTTTTTGACGGCAAACGAACAGCCTGCTTAAGACCGTATGAAGACCGGGTTCCATTCATGTGCTGTGCACTTAGATTAATTATACTTGTATGTCACTTCAGGAGTTGTAATCCAAAAGTCGGCATTTTAAGTATAAGTTGATTACCGATTTATATGCATATGCAGGTTCTCTTATTGTGCTCCAAATTTTATGTTGTAATACAAGTATCTTCAAATGGTGTGCTTCTATTGATCTTTCTGGCTGCTGAAATTAACTTGGTCGCGTCTTCGAAAGATAGATAAGACTGTGTATAAATTTTTTAAATGGGCTCTCTGACTTTAAAAAAAATCTGCATTTAAACGCAGTAGAATGAACTTTGAATTCTTCAATAACAAAATTCATATATTACTTTGAGCATCAGATGCTTTACTGGTTGGATATATCTGTATTTGTTGTAGGAAGCTGGTATATGAATGCAAAATCTTTGTCATAGTTGAAATTCCGCGCTAAAATGGTTTAATATCCCTAATACTCTAAAATGCTAGAAGTTTCTGATTCCTAAATAGACTAAGGTATTGTTCTTTCTGTTTCACGGCTGTAGGATTCGTGACTTTGTGGCAAAACTTTAACTTGGTGTTGTTTTGTTGAAGTTTATTTTTGTTTGGTAATGTTGTCGCTAAGCCAACTTAAAAATTTGTGCTGAACAAGTTGAATTTCTAGTTGCGTGAGCAGTCTGACATAAACGAGGGATGAGAAACTAGACAGGAGTAATGCCAACTACAATCTAGCTTTTTTTAAATGTTTTAGCATTTTTCTGTCAAAAATTCCGAAATCCATGTGGTTGGTTTACGTAACATTATAATAGTAACAATTCCCGAATTCATTTGAAGCCAAAATGAAAATAGTAAGACACTACATACGTACATGCATTTTTGTACTCTGTACCTGAAACGTACAAGAATTTTTTAGGTTTATTTAAAGTGATAAATTTAACAGGAGGCGTGGTAGGCCTCACAAAGTATATAGACATGACGAGCTCTGTAGATCTCACAGTCCATAAGAGCTACTAAGAGAGATACGAAATTTTGCCACAGAAGCCCTATATGGATTAGCAGTACAAGTGTATGTCAGCCTCCACGGCAACTAGTGATATTCCCTATGATATCAGGGGGATATGAAAAAGGGATTTTATAGTTATCCCTAATTATTTGCTGATATTTTATATAAATTGGGGCCAACATCATTTTTTTGTGGGTCAATTTGGGATCTAGGGAAAATAATTAAATTACACATATGTATATTCTGTTAATTTTGCCAAATCGTTCGTATGCAATGACTCTGTTTTCTTCCCATTTAATTTATCACAATTTTTGATTGATTACACTAAGTAAGAACAAGATAGAACGCTACAGTCGAGCAAGCCCGACAGTAAAATAGCCTGTACTCTCCACAAAAAGGAAAAATTAAAAAAAAAAAAATTTTAAAAAAATTAAATTATTAAAAAAAATGAATGAATTAATTAATTAAAATAATTAATTAAATTAAATTAGAATACATGTTTATGTGCAGTTTAAACAGCATACATTTACATCACGTACCTATGCGTGTTCATATGCGTGTATGTATGCAGCACAAAGTTGAACAAAAGCAGCAACAACAACAACAGCTGTGGGCAGCGCTGCCGACAGAGCTGCAGGCAGCGCATGAGCAGCATTTTACTTATGGCTATAACTTTCTTCAGAATTGACCTATCATGATGAAATTTGGCACACGGACACATTAGTACTAACTGGATGTACCTACCAAAATTGATTTTTAAATTCCGAGAATTACGGAAGTTATAAGAAAAAATACGAATTGCGGGGGAGTGGGGGGGTGTATCAGAAAAAATAAACAAACTCGTTCTGCCTAGGGCTTATAGGAACCTTGATACCAATTTTGGTTATCCTAGCTCTTGTACTTACTGAGATCCTTGCGCTCATACAGACAGACGGACAGACGGTCAGACGGACAGACGGACAGACGGACATGGCTATATCGACTCGTCTTCTCATCCTGATCAAGAATATATATACTTTGTGGGGTCTGCCACGCCTCCTTCTGTGTGTTACATACATGCGCACAAAACTAGTATAGCCTTTCACCCTTTGGGTACAGGCTATAATAAAGTATTCCTCCTCCCGAACTTAACCTGCTCGTGAGTACTAGGCCAACCAGTACTAATTTGGTCTAAATCCCAATCTGTAGTCGACTGGGTGATCAGATTTGAAGTTACAAGTATTTTTATTGGGTATTTCCTATATGCGTACTTGAATTTCAAGCATACATAATCAAATCATATAACACATCGGTTCTTAATACGAGATAGGCATCTTAAGGAATAAGTTGTGCCGCGGCTTTTAGAAGTCGATCTTGAAATTGTAATTAATTTGCAACCGTTTTAGCATCACGTAAAAAATAAACAAATAGAGAAGCTACAGTCGGGTGTTCCGACTTCTGGACACATTATCGACACATAATTAGAATAATAATTATGTGTGTGTGTGTATGTTTCGTGTGCCTGTACAAAGCAGCAACAACAACTTGGGCAAGATAATATATATGGCTCTGACTTCCTGGTCAATCGGCCTATCGTTATGAAACTTGGCATACATAATCACCAACTGGAAGTATTGAGTTCGAAATTACGGAAGTTGTGTAAAATCGCTCATTGTGGGAGAGAGGGACAGGGAGGGAAATTCCAAAATACACATTTTCTGTGTAATTACATCAGGCACCTGGGAAAAAAATTTGGTGTCCCTAAGTCTTAAAGTCTCTGAGATATAGGCTATTATACGAATGGGAATCCAAAAAAATAAACCAAACTTGCACAGTGTACACACATAAGGCATATTTGTGCAAAATTTGGTGTCTCTAGCTCTTGTAGTCTCTGAGATCTACATAGGTGTTCATACGGACAGATATACAGATAGACAGACAGACAGGGCTAGATCGACTCGTCTTGTCATGCTGATGAAGAGTAAATATACTTTGTGGGGTCGTTGTGGTTAGTATAAGTATTTACACTCTGTACCTAAATGGTAAAAGAATCCCTCCAGGTAGTGATTATTAGTCCGTATGTCAAGTTTCATATTGATAGGCCGATTTAACAGGAAGTTATAGCCATATATTTCACCTTGGCCAGAGCATTGCCCGCAGCTGTTGCTGTTGTTGCTGCTTCTTTACACAGGCACACGAGACATACACAAACACGCTTAATTATTCTACACATATGTACAGAGTATATCAAAGTCGGGACACCCGATTTTAGCTTCTCCACTTGTTAATTTATTGTATTTATTCCCAAAATTCCCCCGCTAGGTCATTGTCCATAACGCCATTTGTGTAATAACCTATATCTCGAAGGCTATGACACCAAATTTTAGTTCAGGATGCTTCATATGAATACACAGAAAATGTGTTATTAGTGATTTTCCATAGCTCCTGTAATTCTTGGAATTTTTCACGAATGCATTCAGATATCGTTTCATCGTTATAGGCCGATTTTTAAAGGAAGTTATTGCCATAAATGTAATCTCTGCTGCTTTGGCTCAGCCATATAATGCGCAGGTGCTCACGTACAGACACGCATAGACATACATACATAGGAACAGAGTATTTCTATGTCGGGGCATCCATCTTTAATTTTTCGACTTGTTTTGAATTGCGACTTTAAACTTTTTTGCGAATTTTTTAAGCGGTTTAATTTTGATTTATTGTTCAGCGCATAAGTTGTGAATTGTAAACTGTCAGCATAAAGCACTTACATTCTTGATATAGAGTGGTACAATAGATAAACAAAAAATGTAGTATTATGAAATGAAGACTAATTGGTTGAGGCTTAGGAATAAATCTTTAAAAGTATGGGGAATTTTTAATCAGTGCCAAGACAGTTTTGAAACGCATTTTATCTAGAGAATTATTAGAATCATTGCCTAGTGCCTTATGTATATAATATGTATACCATATGTATATGTATGCATGTAGTTTTGGATATGTTGTTATAGTCCCTTCAAAATATCTGTTAAATTTTGCAATCAAGGAGAAGTAAGTTTCTTAATTCAGTTATTAACAAAATTGCATGTTGTTTTAGTACCATAGATGTATGCTTTTTTACAGATACGCCTAACCTATAATTGTATATAATACTTGCATGCCTTTTATTTTTTGCCGTATGTTGATTAGATCGATCATGTATATTTATTCGATCAAACACACACACACACGTCATGTACATAGGTACAATTACCAATTTACACAAACCCTGCCACATACATCCACTTATGTAGACTGTTTGAAAAGCAGCAAATTGAGCAAATGAAGGCTATTTAAATATCAACTAAATGCCTGCATTTCAGATACAAAAGAATAAACAAATCATGGAACAGTTGGAAAAGGATTGCGAAGCCATTAACATTGAGGATGCCGCCAATGCTGGTAAACCAGGGGCCAGTCCCGAAATAGCTCAGCCGCGTATTTCGGCACGTTGGACACAAGATGAGATACAGATGGCTATTTTGGCTTTACGCGACTATGGCAAAAACTATGCAGTAAGTAGCCGAAAAGTTTTTATGTGGCACTGCTCCCTCAAACTAAGTAATTTTCACCCCTCACTTTTAGATGATAGCCAAAGTGGTGTTGACCAAGACGGAGGCACATGTACGTAATTTCTATCTGCACAACCGTCGTCGGCTCAATCTTGATCAGATTGTTAAGGAGCATGAGGCCTTAATGGCCTGTAAAGTAGATCAAGTAGGTGGAAATGGATGTGGCGAGGAACCCGCTGATGGCAGCGACGTTGTATTGGTAGATGGAACACCTGCTATCAAAACCAGCGCTGACGAAAGCAATAACAGATCTAGCCAAGAGCAAAAAAAGGATGAGTTTCTTTCGAAAAAGACCAAGGAAGTGACGGCTGCTATAAAGGACACCGAGAATGACACAGTTGTTTCCGCTGTAGCTGTTGGAAGCCCAACGACAATACCTACTTCGAGCAGTGCAACGGACGCTAACATTGCTGCTAATTCCAGTCCTGTCATTGGGAAGAGCAGCAAACTGGTAGTATTGACACCATCTACCACTTTTACCATTGTGGATGAATCTGACACTACTACGAACTCGAGCAGCGATGCAGCAATAAGCAATAGCATCAACAATGCTCCTGGCACATTATCGTCATTGTCCTCCTCCAGCGTTAGCGTTGCTGGCAAATCTTCACCTAGTAATCGCAGCAGCGAACGTGACAGTGAGGAGTCATTTCCAATAAAATCCGGTGTGGGTGGTGCCAAGCGCGATAGCTCCGTTTTGGTATGTTTATTTATTTATTTTTTTTGTTCCTATTTGCAGTTAGGATAAAGGACACTCACGGTCGGCCAATTTTTGTCCACCCAAGGGGAGTGTCAGCTTAAGGGGATACTTAAATTTTTTACACCGATCGAATGTTTTAGAAAAAGTGTCCGCCGAAGAGAGTGTCCGGATAAAAGAGGTGTCCATCAAGGGAGTTTTCACTGTATATATAAAATAACAAAACCACACGTTGCTCAGAATTCGAACACTCAATGTAGTTATCCAGTGTGATATCCATTATAAATCATGATCGCAATCATTTTGTGTAGTATGTGCTGAATAAGCTATGATCGCATCTCCGCCACACACACTTGTGGGCATAATAATAATGTTGGAAGAAAAGCATATAGTAAATAAATATACATACTTACAATTGTAAGCAAATATGGGTAAGACCTGTTAGTCATTCATTCTTTGAATTGAAAACACATGATAGTGTTGAATTGAAAATTAAATAGATGGCTCCTGTTGGATAATATATGCTTCATCTTTTGGCACCTAGCAAAGTAATGTGCTACTATATCGTAGAATAAAGAAAAAAAGCTAATAACTTTTCTTAGAATTTATTGATGTGGATGAAATATGTATACGATTTCCTACCTCTTACCGTTTAGGCTGTGCGTTGATCATCAATCAGTAAGTCAAGACAAACTGTTTAGGAACTTCTAGGGTTATTTAGGTTTTAAGCATACACGTGCATTTATAAATTGTTAATTCGATTTTTTCTTTTATTACAGCAAAACACCGAGAAGTCAGCAGCCAAAAAAATTGCGATCAGTTCCGAATTCTATGAAAAGTAAGGCAAAGCTATAGCCTATACGTAATTCAATACTTTGCGTCATATACATATACTATATATGCATGAGCTGCATATGTAAAGCATGTTACGTCTCAAATTGATAAAAACCTGGCGCTTAGTTGTGGATTTGCATAAAGGCTGGTCAAATTTAATTGCATTTCTCAGTTGTCTTATATAAGCCGATCAGCCTTGGGGTAATACCCCAGGGTTCTCTGATCAGATTTTTTTTTTCTTTTGTAAGAACACATAAACAAGAATCACTTAATAAAAACAGAGCCTTAAAGACGTTATAATAAATTAGTTTGATATGTATAGCAATGAAGTGTATTTTATTATTGATACATATTCAGTTTTCAGTTTAATTTTCCTTAAAAAATGTCGTATTATCAATATTACATCACGGTTATAAACATATTTCTGGCCTGTGCGTATAACATAAAATTAATTTTATAGATTTGGTAAAATATTGCGGCAAAAACATTATGTTGGATGCTGGCAAACATACTAAAAAATATAATTAATTGAAAAAAACATATTTAGCGAGAATGTAATGTAAGGAAAAAAATAATTTGTATCTAAACATGTAAACGTAAATGTTACAAACCCTAATTGTTTTTACGTTGTAATTGAGCATATAAGTAAAATAGTTGGGAACATGGAATGTTACTGCGCCGCCCATTTGCTTAAGATAACATAATATGAACTATATAACTATATACGAGGGTAATCCGAAATGTTTTTAGCCTAAGTATGATACAACAATTTAAGTCAACACACTTTTCCCGGCGATACACCATCCTCTTCAACACCTCCAAAGAGTATTCGCCGTCCTGAATTCAAAATGGTTGCTTTTGATAATAACTTCTATCCCCCAAGCGCAAACTAGAGACACCAAATTTTTAAGAAAAAGAAAACTATATCCATAAATGGTGTCTCTGATCAAGCTCTGCATGCAGCTGTTGTTTTTGCATTTGTATTTCAATTGTGGTAATTTAAAAAAAATTTTATAATTATTCTACACATAGGTACACTGATTTTATTTGCGTAAGCGCATTGCACATCAAAACAAATATCTCATGATCGCCCGATATTCAACTTTTTCCACTTTTACAGAAGGTTGTTAACGGCTTAGTCGATTGTTGAATTATAATATCAAAACGGCTAAAAATGTTGGCAAGAACATATTAAACGATGCCTTATCACAATACCACAGTTTGATTAATTTATGTAGGAGGTTGTCTTCATGTCCCGACTAGAAAGATTTCGGATTGGCTTTGTATAAAGTTGAATTCTTGAGCGGCAAAATTTGAGTTGTGACGTTTCTTATTTATTCAAGTTTGTTTTTAAAGAAAAGTTATCTTTTAATGAAGATTTCATTTCTTGCAGAATATAAACATACATACATTAAATAAATGCTAAGATCTGCTTAAATATGACATTTCTTCATAATATAAGTAACAATATAAACACAAAAGCAAACATGTAAGTGTACAAAAGAAAAATTGAAATGAATAATAAAACTAAATATTATTTGCAAACTTTTTAAGCATCTTATGATGGATATAGGAAACTTGACAAATCTGATTAGTCGAATTCGCGACCATGGTTGAAAATGAACTACGAGCTTGTTAAATACATACATTAAATTATTTTATTTTAACTATATGGCTTAGCTACGTACAACTACTTGCGGAGAAGATGTAAATCTATTCACTCATTGAATTGTTTATTCTAGCTCTTATACTTTCTTTGATCCTTTTTATATTCAACAGGTCCGGTAATAAAGGCGGGGAATGTGTTCATAATCAGGTTCAGAAATGGGGGGCCTGACAGGTTGGGCGGTGTAACCGGTGGATGTAGTTTATTTCATCCATAACTGCCTTTAAACCCACATATTAGCAAAAGTACCAGATTTTTATGTCCTTTATCCAAAGGGTAAAAGGGTATATTAGTTTTGTGCAAGTGTTCATGTAAAACATAGAACGACGTATGGTAGACCCCACAAAGTATATATTCTTGATCATCATGACAAGACGTGTCGATATGAGAATGTCCGTCCGTCTGGATCTAAAATAACCAAACTTGGTATTCAGATTCTCCTAAGTCCGAGGAAGGACAAGCTTGTGTTTTTATACTCTGTACATGAAATGTCTGTCTGTGTGTCCGTATGAACACCTGGACAAGAGCTAGAGACACCAAATGTTGCACAAAGATGCCTTATGTGTGTACGCTGTGCAAGTTTGTTTCCCACTTTCCCCATATGGAAGATTTCCCGATTTTCCATTCGTATAATCGCCTATATCTCGGAGACTATAAGACTTAGGGACACCAAATTTTAGTCCCAGATGCCTTATGTGAATACGCAGAAAATTTGTATTTTGGAATTTCCCTCCCTCCCTCTCCTTCGCAATTAGTGATCTCATTTCATTTTGATAGACCGATTTAACATAAATATAATTGCTGCCCGCAGCTGTTGTTGATGCTAGTGCTTAGGTTGACTGCAAACACGCTCACACAGACACCAATAGTCACGCATACACACACACATAGACGCAATTTGTATGTATCTACATCAATGTGCAATTATACACCCTTTACGCGAGCTCGAATACCGAGAGAGAGAACATCGATTTAAATTTTTTTAATTTGTATATAAATTTTCTAAACATATGTACAGAGTATTTCAAAGCCGGGACATCCGACTTTAGCTTTTCTACTTGTTGCTGCTTCTAGCTTAACGGGCAAAAAACATAAAAATTTGCAAAAAAAAAAAAAAAAAATGGTTTTACCAATTTATTTGTTGTAAGGTGATATTTAAAATGCTTTTTACATTAACTCATCCAGTTCTGCGAGGTTCGCATTCGTACGACACTCGTACATACATAAAACATATGTAAGTCTCCACTTATGTATGTATGTACATTTGTATTGAATATTTTTAATTAAATTACATATTTTATTTAATTAATTTAACTTTTTTAAATATTGAAACCGTTTTTTTTTTTTTCATTCTTATGGGAGTGTAGTGTTTAAGAGTTAATCCCGCTCGACTCTAATATCTCATTCTTTATTTAATTCTTAATATGCAAGGAACCTTTACAAGTAATTTCATTGACATATAAACTTAAGTATAAACATCATTAAATTCAAGTCAGTAATTTAAATATTTGTTTTGGGGTGTGTTTAGTCCAACCTCAGTTTTGACTGAGACAACTAATTGCAAATATCAAAACTGAAAACATTGTTTTTAATTTGACTTTTAATATTGTTCCATAAATTGTTAACGGCACTTACATCTGGTCTGGACGATGGCCATTCAAGAATACTACTACAGTTTTTGTCCGACAATTGTTTTGTTCTTTGCGATTGCTGTGTTTCGAAGTTCGACGAGTTCTTTCTTTGCGTGGAACATTTTCTGTGGAGTTATATTTTCCGTAATGTTTCTCTGTTTCGTTTGGACTTTTGTGGTTATAGAAAAGTGGCAAGCACATAAAATGAATATTTGTCAACAGCTATATTTCATAGGTGAAATTTGATTAGTACAATAATTTGACTATTGGCTTTTGGATCTGTTAAAGTTTGATGGCATGGATGATTGTAATTTTCCCTTTCCTCTGTAAATAGTTTATACATCGCTGAAATTGGATATATATTGTGCATTTAAAATATTGCTTTTATCAACTATTTTCCCAGAACTACAGTTAGTATTGTTGTTAACTTTGATATATTGGACCCTAATCTTGTATTAACTGTGGACAAAATTTTTCCAGTAGTTCGATGTTGGCTTGTCTTAATTATACCCTGTACCCGTAGGGTAAAAAAGTATTATTAGGTTTGTGCAAAGTATTTAACATGCAGAAGGAAGCATCTCCGACCCCATAAAGTATATATATTCTGAATCAGCATGACGAGAGAAATCGATCTAGACATGTTCGTCCGTCCGTCCGTCTGGATGAACGCAAGGATCTCAGAAACTATAAAAGCTAGAATAACCAAAGTTGGCATCCAGACTCTCCTAGGTCCGAGAAAGGACAAGTTTATTTTACTTTTTTTATCCTAGGTCTTATAGTCTCCGAGATATAAGCGATTATACGAATGGAAAATCGGGAAAACCCCCATAGGGGGGAGTTTTTGCTGCTGCTATGGGCGCATATAACTCAGTGACAGAAGTTTACCTGGGTACAGGGTATTACACTGTCGGGCTTGCTCGACTGTAGCGTTTTTTTATTTTCCGTTTTAATGATCTTTTCATATTAAACACAGTGAAATTATGATGTAGTTATGATTGAAACTAAGAACAGCTAGTTTCTTACGTGGTGTAATAAAGTTAAGTTTATTTTTAAGCTTTTTTAAAGAGTTTTAGTCTGATATTTATAGCAACTGGGAGAAGGCGTGGTATGTATTTCACATGTCAATCCAAAAATAGCTACATTGTTAAAAATTGTCTCTACTAATATATACAAAATTCGAGTGTTTCGATTGACATACATACATAGGTATTAGCCATTTCGATTTATGTAGCCAATAAAAATATAGTGTACTCACACCATATATGCTGGTGATTTTGCCACTTGATGGGAAGACATCCATGGTTATAAGACAACCGATTTCAAACCAAAGTCAAATTAAAATAATCGAAGTTACAAGTTTTCAGACGTTTAATGCCCATTTGCTCAAAATATATCGTACTCATTAGATATTTACAGTTGTAAAATACATTTTAAGCTGATTGCACTGTCATAATAAGTTGGACTCGTTGTGCTTCACCCTTGACGTATAAACATCATAGCCAAGACTAATGATGTTGTCGTAAAATATGCGATATTGTGGCGATATCCAGTAAAAGTTAACAAATTGCGCCACTGGCCACACTGTCCATTCGGCAGCGTACAACTTCCATGCTTTTTCTTTTATTTCCTTAACTACTTCAGCTCTATCTTTTTGTTCCAATATTCCAAGCGTAACAAAGAATGCGGTTATGTAAACGGGCGAACAAATCAACTGGTCAAGAATAATCTTTTTGGCCACTACCCGCATGGTGCGTCCAGGTAATTTCTTGTCAAGAATTTGATACCAATAGTGACAAATAATACCAACACTCACGCCTGATGTAGCCATGTGACATGTACGGGTGTTGTCGAAAGTCTTAATTTCGCCATTGTAGATCTCAAATTGCTGTTCCAAAACATCTCCGGCCGAGCTGAGAGACAGGGAGATTCCTACATTTGTAAATAGCAGAAACTTGCTGCTGAACGCGCCTGCATGCCATTCACGCAGTTTCCTTAGGGTTCTGGTGGCCTCTACCTGGCGTTTAGGATTGAATTTTGAAAGAAGTGTTTGCAGCGTTTGACGCAAAGATTGCATTATGCGTACATTTGTGTTTCTCGTCTACTTTGTAATTAGTTCTAGATAATATTTGTGAAAACCCATTTCCGCGGTCATTGGGGTTGAAAATGTTTTAAATATCAGTTGGTTGAGCATTTAACACATGGTAGAGATGAAAAAGTCATCGATACAACGGAGAAAGGGAAATATTTTAACACGTGCCACCGATAATTTTCGTATTTATTATAATCGCAATGTATCATTATTTTGGTAAAGTATTGTGAATGTTATTGCAAACATGTAGTTAGTTATTGTTCCCCGAAAAAGAAAACATTTTTCTTAAAAATGTCGAGATAATATCGATGCATTCACAGAATCACGTTTTGGGGTATTCCCTTAAAATTCAATTTAATTAATGTAAAGACATATTATTCTTTTTTATGCAGATTCGAATATGGAGTGAAATGATAAACAGTCATGCTCCCATTACCACAAAAGTTTTCTAACGTGCGACAATAAGATGATTTAATTATTGCCTTCTTCGAAATCCGGAAAAAAATGTTATCGATTGTAAAAACAGCTGTCTGTGCTCGAAAGAATACTGATCGTTGATATGTATGTGCGCAAAAATAACATGGCTACTACGTAAACTTGTTTTCTTTTAAAATGTGCCACAATGCTAAACTAGAAATACCAGTAGCACCAAAATGCGAATGCATGCACCTAATTTTATTGTTGTCAACAGCTAATGCGCTAGTTTAATTTGAGGTATGGCTATAAAATAATTATTTTCAGTGGTGGGTTTAGCATTAAACTTGCACCTACAATTTACAAAACTTGCATTTAGATAAATAGCCCCCTGAACATACATTTATACCAGGGTTCGAAAAATGCGAGCACGACCCATTTGGACCCACGAGAAATTCTGCTGTGGTTCGCTGCCGACAGAAGCCGAAAGTCGTATGAGCCGACCTGCAGAAGCCATTCGTACCTATGTATGTTTATTTTGGAATTCCTCTCTCTCTCTCCCCCCCCCCCCCCCTCTTCCACGCAATTGGTGAAATTCTATAACTTCCGTAATTCTTGGAATTTTTTACTTAAAATTTGGAAAATAAGTGATTATGAGTCCGTATGCCGTCCGTATGTCCGTTTCATCATGATAGGCCAATTTTAAAGGAGGCCATAACCATAAATGTAATCTGTGCCCAACCTGAGGTACTGCTATGTGCCGGTAAGCTGAAAGAAAGAACGCGTTATAATTGTGCCCAAAGCAGGCAAATATGGTCACGTACAACTGAAAGCTTACAGGCAAATAGGTCTCACCTAATTTCTGCTCAAGCTTACGTACTGGAAGCTTATGTAATGTGAGCAGCACCATCACGCCTATACCCGAGGGAAATCAGTGGAAACGACGCTACACTCCCTACTAGATATGTCTGTCGAATTTAATAGAACTAAAGCACCACACTCTACAGTCTAGGCTGGGTTTCAAAACCGGGTGAGCTGCAGTCGACTCAGCACAGAACACGACAGCACAGAACAAGAAGTTACCTGAGGATTTGATAAAGGCATTCCCCGCTGCACACCATGTGGAGGAGAGCGGTCGAATGGCACCGGCCATGCCCCAGGGCGAATGCGAGCCGCCAGCGGCGTACATACGAGCGATGCACCGGCTCATGTCGCACCCTGGAGGTCAGAAAAGTAGTTCAGACTTCTCCACAGTAACATTTGGCCATCAGCACACAGCAGGGTCCGCGTCGCGATCGAGGAGGTCCGAACGGTATCTGAGTTCGCACTGGTCATAGAGCGACTGGAGAAGTTAGGACAATTGGTCTTGCCGGCGTTAAGCGGAACGACTGGCGACCCCACACAGGAAAACTACCCGCAGAACGCCCCTTACCGATGGTGGTTAGGGTAGACTGCGATGGACTGTCCCTCGACGCGTCTGTGGATACCGAAGCCACACGTAGCTTCTGGGACTAAATTTGGTGTTCCTAGGTCTTATAGTCTCCGAGATATAGGCGATTATACGAATTGAAAATCGGGAAAACCCCCATAGGGGGGGAGTTTTTGCTGCTGCTATGGGCGCATATAACTCAGTGACAGAAGTTTACCTGGGTACAGGGTATTACACTGTCGGGCTTGCTCGACTGTAGCGTTTTCTCTTTTTTTATTTTCCGTTTTAATGATCTTTTCATATTAAATACAGTGAAATTATGATGTAGTTATGATTGAAACTAAGAACAGCTAGTTTCTTACGTGGTGTAATAAAGTTAAGTTTATTTTTAAGCTTTTTTAAAGAGTTTCAGTCTGCAGTGCTGGGGTGGGATAATGAGTTCACGTTGCGTTCAGACTGTAAACTTAGTTCTCTGAACGGTAGCCATTGGTGGCGAGAGGCTGGAGGCACGAGGTGTGCATGGGTACAGGCAGCTGGGAGTACAACAGGTGTGCCGAAGGACCCGTCGGCCCAGCTGACAGAAGAACAAGCTGTTTTGTTGGCCATTCCTAGGCAAAGAGCTGACCCGCTTCGAGAGCGTTGTCCTCTCATCAGTGGCGACCCACAAAATTTCTATAAAGAGTGAAAGGCCTATTAAACAGCAATATTACCCGAGAAGTGGGCAAGCCGCAAATACACCGCATTCACAGTGTCCGGTCGGGTTCAAGGGTGTTTGATTCCATTCAGGCTGCACTCAACCCCAGCCATCTGGAGTGCGTCATCGGCCCAGACATGGCATTCACAGACCTTCAGCGTCTATATAACCTAGATACCTCCCACAGTATCCTCACATGGTGAACCCACGAGAAAACCAGGATAAGTTTGAGTTCATTTGCAAATCTATACGTTACTTGGGGCATCTGGTAACGAAGGAAGGGATACAAACAAAGCCGGAAAAGGTGGCAGCCATACGTGAGATAAAGCATCCAATGAATATGAAGTAGCTGCGCCAATACATCGTATCAACTTTCGCGACGAAAGTCGGTCTACTCACCGAACTGCTTGAAAAAGCCAAGAAATGGGCGTTGCACGCACCGCAACAAGAAACGATCATAATTACCTGGAAGGATACACGTACAGTACACGTTCGGTGTGCAATATCGCAAATGGGAGTACGCAAAAGATATGCACGTGTCGCAGACCACTATCACTGGAAAGGCATGTATGGAGAAGTCGCTAATTTCAGCTTGGAATCATAAAAAAGGAACAGGCCTAAGTGGGTCGGCTAAAAAAAAATTAGCGTAATTCGGGGCTAATTTCTGAAGCAGCATTGAGCCGACATCTGAAGCATAAAGATCGCGAAATGTGTTTGCAAGATATTCACCATGCTTTCTACAAAGTGAGAATGGCTAGTTACTAGACTTAAAGACCCGTTAGTACTGCTGATGAACTCTTATTTTCCACACAGTATAACCCTCATGCCCAACTCAGAGGACATACCAAGGTATCATGGACCGGACGGCACCATCGCGGCCCTCATGGTTTCAAGTAATGCTCAAGAGGGCTATTGAGGGCTACTGCGTTGCAGATGAGCTGAGGGAGGGCATTAAAGCAAATTAATACACGGGGTCAACGTAAAAAACAAGAATCTTCCCTCGTATAAGTGTATTAGTTCAACAGTTTTAACGCAAGCTTTAAAGTAAGTAAAACGATGATATAATATAGAACATGATTTATTGTTTAAATACAAACATGGTAATTTGTACCGAAACAGTATTGTCAAGTGCCTCCCTAGGAACTAAATGAAAGTCACTCAATATTTTCACACACGTGGTACAACGTAAAACAAGAAGGAATGCTAGAGTCGCGAATGGGCTCAACTCTTAAATACCCTGTACCCACACCCACAAAAAAAACAACTTGTTTTAATATAATAAAAAAAATTCCTAAATAAAATTAATTAAACATTAATAATAAAATCAAACATTAATAACAGCTAGAATTGAGCTGGCTGAACTCTTAAATACCCACAAAAAATAAAATAAATCTTTTGAAAATATTGTTTTAATACATTTTTTAAAAACAAAATTAGTTGAATAAAACTAATAAAACAAATATAAATAACACGTACATAGAGTCGAACAGTTTCAATAGAATACATGTGTTCGTGTATGTATGCGAACAGAGTTGAGCCAAAGCAACAATAATGACCACAGCTGTAGGCTATAGCTTCCTTTACATATGACTTATCATAATAAAACTTAACATGAGGACACATAACTAAATGTAATTTTCGAATTTAAGTTATGGGTGTTATGGAAAATCACTTGGTTGGGGTGCATTAAAAAAACACAAACTTTCCTGGACCCTTTCTTGGACCTACGACTCCTTCTGCAGGTTACACCGTTCACCCTGCACAAACCTAATGCATGTGTATACCCTTGTATATTTACATATACAGTTTAAGGTTTAGATAATCTGGAAGGGCTATTAATATTTATGCCATCTCACATGCCCCATACATTAAATTCAAATACAAACTTTGATTTATCCATGAACAGTTTTTGACGTGTCGCTTTCTCAAATTGTGGGCTAATAGGAGCACGTAGAGTATGTCAAAATATAAATCTATTTATGCTTCCTGTAACACGAATTTTGCTTATATATCAGATTAAATAAATAATACAATATTATACAAATTTTTCTCCATTTCTCATTGAATGACATTTATGGATTACTATTTATTTTTTGTGAAAAAAGGAAAAACTCGTTTGGCGAGCGAGTAAGTTATCACAGCAAAACGAAACAGAAGTTATGGATATATATAATTGCGAACATTCTTCGCCTTCCCGCCCACAATTTAAAAATTATAATTCACAAAAATTTTGTTAGAGAGAATAAAATAAACATGCCCCTCAGGTGTGCCCCCTGGTAGCTTGAGCCTACTTGTCTAACTATAACAATAACACAAAATTAATCCAATGAGTTTTGGCCAGCACTATGTACATCTATCTCCGTGCTTGAGATGCTTGGCGATATTGTTGTTGCATTCGAATTTCCAGATCCACGATCCAAATTATAATATTGTACAATACGCGCTGGCGGCCGATTCGAGATGACTTCCTGAATTTGCCCTACAATCCACTTGGCAAGTTTAATAACGGCTACGTGAGCAGCAAACTGCAAAACCATGGCACCAAAACCTTTGTACAACCCAGCAAAACCCTCCGATATTATAGTCGTTCGATAGCAATCTATTGCACCCTGATAGTTTGTTAATATAGGTACTACCGCATATCCATTATCAAGATTGTCGATGATAGTTCGGGTGCCCTGCAATTGTATCCGATGTAGTATGGTCTCGAAAGGAAAAAATATCACCTCGGTGGTCAGCATAGCAATCAAATTGGCATAGATCTCGGCATTTTGATGCTCTAGCGCATCATCGCGAAACTTGTTGCCACACTTATCTTGCATTTGTGAAAGCCTTCGACGCATAATACGGGAGCTAACGCCTCGGATAACGAGGTTAAACAAATATTTTGTAATACCCAACGAAACGCTGGGACCAATTAACGCCCAAGCTGGCAGCATGCGACCTTTTTGTGGGGAGCTCCAATAGAACAAACGTAGACTTCCTTCACGAAATACATCAAACAGTCCGGGCTTTTCGCTGGCTATGTCACTTTGGACCGTCTCTACAAGCGAGGCAGCATAGAAAGGCACGACCAGTCCAATGCTAATGCTAATAAAGAAAATCCTTATTAATTATGGCCGAAATTGGATAATTCCCACCTACCATTTAAGTAAGATATGCTGTAGAAAGCTTTTTAGTGACGTGCGACTGTCTACCTCCTTAGGCCAGGCAGTAAATTTTGAAATAGCATCATCCACGGCTAGTGACATACCGCGGATTAGCAAACAGCTTCCTAAGCCCTTCCACAGTGTTGTCATGCCTTGTCGTCTATGTAGATGCACAATGCTGGGTAACAATGTGAGTGGTTGCAGATGATAGCTCTGTGAAGCATTGTACACCTGACATTGGCGTCGTAACACAATGAACGGATGACTTAGCAAATTCTCGGTAACCAGAGAGACCCACTGTACGCCGAAAACGAGGTACTTACGTAGAGATATATCTGCAATGATATTATAACGCAAATTTCCATTTATAAATATATAATAAGGGTCCACAAACGGTATGATTGAATAAAAATAACTTTCTTGAATATTTGCAAAATTTGTTTGTCTGCATAGCTTTAAAATATGTCTTTAAGTTGTTGCAAATCGCATTTAAACAGCCACCAAGTCCACATAGGCTGACAAAAAAACATATTTCATACATTCATCCAAGCAGTCGTTTGGCATGAGCATTTGACTTGACGCATGGGAAAATTAAGCGATGATTTTGTATAAATGGACAGCTTTGAAGAATTTTAAGCATTCAATATCTCAAAAATTATTTCTTAGTGTTATTACTTGATAACACCCACCATCCTCCTGACTATCAAAAAATTTATCCAGCACTTTATGTTTCTCCAATGGCAAAGATAGATCTCGATCAGAATTGACATATTTGATTTTGGTAATAGCGTCCTGGTCGGCATTTATTGTTTCCACATAGGCCTTTTCGCGATCATCAATACTAGGGGGGAAAAGTGGAATGAAATATGAGATATTTTACATAACTCCGTGCGCCCTATTAGCGTGGGCAGATGTGTGCAACTTACCTGCGACCAAAATGTGTAGGCTTTATTAATGTAGGCGGCAAATTACCTCTGACCTCACTTTCCTCATAAGGTTCACGATTAGCCGCATACCTAAAGTGTGTCCGGTTAGTGGGCAAGACACATAATTGCACCATACTTACATCAAAGTAGAATAATTGTTGATGCCTGCCATTTCGAGTAGTTGCGTGTTTTTGATGCCCCAGATTTCGATATATTGTGTATCTGCCTACTTTACCTATCTGTTTGCGTATGCTTTCAAGTAAGAAACATTAGTTTTTGTTTTGCTTTGAGCAAATAAAATGTTTTTCGATGAATATTTGTTGTTGAATAAAGAGATAACAGTAGTGCTGCAAAACTACCAAAAATCGATAGTGTTTACAAGAAGCCTTTTCCATTGGGAAACATTAACTGTAGACCAATTATCGTTAATGCGCATTCCAGATTTAAAGATATCACAGTTTATGTGTGCTTTTGGTCCTTAGCTTATTGAATATGCGTAATGGGTCCATTACTATAAAATACTATAAAAATGAATGGCTTCTTCATTCATTTTAAAAAGAGTGTATGTATTTTTTTGAATTGTTGCACCAATAGCTGACTGATATAACAGATGACTGATATAACAGATCAGAAAAACAAATCTATATGTATATTTTTTGAATGGTATTTGATCTAGCCACATTTCTTACTTATTTTTGTCCTCGTCTTAGTAGCATTGATAAACATACATACATATGTCCAAATAATATGGCTCTCGATAGATAAGCATTATTTTGCTTTTTCCTTCAAATATTATCTCTCGATATCTTTTATAAGTCAATCGAAATACAAGTATCTCAATATACATATATTTATAGCCTGTACCCAACGGTTGAAAGGCTATACTAGTTTTGTGCGAATGTATGTAACATACAGCAGGAGGCGTGACAGGCCCCAAAAAGTATATATATTATTGATCAGGATGACAAGCCGAGTCGATATAGCCATATCCGTCCGTCCTTCCGTCTGTATGAACGCAAGGATCTCAAGAAGTACAAGAGCAAGAATTACCAAACTCGGTATCCAGATTCTCCCAAGTCCGAGAAAGGATGAGTTTGTGTTTTTTTTCTGATGTACCCCCCCACTCCCCTGCAATTCGTGTTTTTCCCATCATTCCCGTAACTCCCGTATTTCTTGGAAATTTGTACTCAAATTTGGTTAATACATCCATATACTTGTAGTGTCCATATACTGATAATGAGTTTGTGTGTCAAATTTCATCATGATAGGTGATGAAGAAATTTATAGCCATAAATATAATCTCTTCCCAAGCTCTGCCGGCAGGGGTTGCTGCTTTGACTTATTTTTTTTTTACTGCATACAAGCACGCATAGACACGATTTTGATGTAAATCTATGCTGTTGAAATTGTACGTAAGCACTTATGTCTGTATGCATGTGTTAAATATTTTATATTGAATTAAATTAATTAATTACATTTTTTTTTGTTTTTGTGTGGTGGTAAGAGTTGAGTGGAATTTAGCATTCCTTTCTATTTGTTTAACAATGGATTCCAGAAAATCCCCGGCATTTTGGCTGTGGCACCGGCTAATGCCCCAAGTTCCAGATCTATTTCTCTATCAGGAAGGCAGTATGGTTAGAACACCATTTCCACAAGGGCATCTGTGCGGTAGCTAAGAAGTTTTGCAGTTCCTGTTGTAGTTGAAGGGCGTCTTTTACAGTATCGGCTACGGATAGGCAATAGTTGACGTTAAATTCTTCTTGCAGTGCCCGAGCTCCCAGCAGGTTCGTACTGGCTGCTTGTCATGCAAGTTCTTGAAAGGATGTCGCTCTACAGGTGATGCGGTACTTGTGAAGCCGTAAAAGAATCGTGAATAATGACGATTCGACCTTCGGTCCTATATGTAGGGTGTCGTTGAGTGAGAGTCCTGATGCTGGCTAAGGCAACGAAGACTACACGTAGCTTCGTGGTGCTATCAGGCTTGAGCACACAGTGATGAGTCAAGAAGTAGTGGTAGTAGTAGAAACAGTGGGTGGTAATTTGAGACATGTGCCCCACTGCCCCCGTATTGGTGTAGGATGAACACGTTCTAACGCAGGAGATCTGGGTTCTTCAACAGACACCGCTCGACCAACCAACCCAGTTTGGTGTTTTGTAGTATGGGCTGAACATTTCCAATAGAGAACTGTTGGGGTCGCATCAAGGAGTGGTAGAATTCTGCCTCAATCAACAGGTCTATCCGTGTAGAGCGGTAGAATACCGGACCTGCTAATATCAACTCTGGGGGATTTTATACAAGGTCCTTATTCAGGCTGTTCAGCATCGATGCTAAATCTGTATAATTTCTTCATTAGTGTGTATAGTAGGATACTGTCCCACCTTAACTTGACTAGGCTCAGATCTTCCTTGGCCTAAATACAAAATTACTATTAAAAATAAAATACATATTTAAAGCAATCCTTGTTTCAAATAAGTACGAAATAACTGTGTATTAATTAAACAAACTTGGCGAAAATTGTGTGTCGCCGAGTGGGTAGGGTCCGTTGTTACAAATGTTGTGCATATCAAAGCTGTCATGTGAATTGCATAGCTTGACGGAAAATAACTTTAAATTTATATTGATGTTTTTATGAGTTAAGCGAGTGCCGCTTAATTATTTAAGGAATTTGTTAATAATATTTTAAGTTATGAAGCTAATTTACTAATTGCAAGGTTAGGTTAGGTTGTAATGGCTGGGGTGATTGCGCTCACCCTCCCGCTTAGGCCAATCTCTCTATTAATCTACCCTTAGCTACCCGGCTTAAAAATCTAATTAAGTTCACGAACTCTATGTTGGTTGCTTCAGAGAGAACAGTTAGAAAGGGTTTCCCTAGGGTAAATAGTCTACGCCTGCTCAGTTCTGGGCAGTAGAAGAGAAGATGCTCTACACTTTCTTCCTCCTCTTCATCTCTGCAGCTTCTGCAGAAGTATTTATTTGGTATTCCCATACTCACAGCGTGTCTGCCAACCGCGCAGTGACCCGTGAGCACCCCCACCACCATTGAGATTTAGTTTCGCCACAGTTTTACAAGCTTAGAAGTCCTTCTTGCGTCAAGGATTGGTCAGATGAGCCTTGTTCTTTCAGCGTTGCTGTGCCATAGACCGCGCATGGCTGCGTGTAAAAAGCCGGAAGGACGCTAACGGCATGCCCATTTCTTCCCTATCTGGAGGGATGCATGCGGTAGTTCCCTTCCTTGCCAGCTCGTCTGCGATGCAGTTTCCCTCGATGTCTTGGTGCCCTGGCACCCATGTGAGGGTGATACTGAATTGCTGGGCCATCTCATTAAGAGATTTGCAGCAGTCAGTGATGACTTCCAACGCCTTAGGGGCCTCTTAGCTATCTAAATAAATAAATAACTGTCTGCCATCTACCATATTAGGTGATATGTGCCTAGTGACCTCATGTATTGGAGCGACTTCTGCCTGGTAGACGCTACAATGATCTTGGGGGCGAAAGGACAATCTTATGTCCAAGTCCGGTGAGTAGACGCGTCCACCAACGCTCTGATCTTGCATTAAGAAGTTGATGGCATTGTCTATCCAGAGTGGGAGAGTTTACCAATCTGTTCGAGTGGGAATCCTGCCCACGTATTTTTTTCCAACAATAAGTTTGGGTATGCAGTAGTTCGTGCGGGCGGGAACCCTGGGGTGCAGACGGAATATGCTAGCACGTCCACTTGATGAGCTCTTCAAATGTAGCGTGCATTCGAGGCTTTCTTCACTCGTTCTGCTATGTTCTCGTTCCAGTGCAATTTTCTATCCAGGATGACTCCCACATACGTTGCACTTCGACTGAATTTGAATGGGACCCAAGTTCCGGGATCTTGTACTTTTTGGTGAAGAGTATTAGCTCCATTTTTGTGGGATTTACTCCCAGATAACAAGGGGACGGGGGATGCAAAAGCGTCGATAGTGCCGTCTTCATTAGGTGACACAGCAACCATAGTAGTGGGGAAAGGACTCCACCCTGTGGAGTGCCCCTGCTGACAAACTTTCGGCAGGACCTTATTGAAGGCGCACTCTATGTCCAGAAAGACTAGCAGTGAATACTCATTAACCGAAAGTGAGTTCTCTATTTTAGAGACCAGAAAGAACACGGCAGTGTCAGTGGACCTGCCCTTTCTATACGCGTGCTGATAATTCGACAGTAGAACCGGACTAATCGTCTGCCTGAGGTATACTTATATTAGTCTCTATAGAGTTTTGGTTGCATGTGGTCAAATCCTAGGCAGCTTCTGAGCATTGCCAGGAGCGGCGGCATGATGTACGTCAGGAAGTGTTTGGCGTTGGGCCGGGACGAAGCCGTCTGACCCAGGAGATTTTTAGGGCTGGAATGTTTTTATAGCTCAGCTTCTGCGGTGTTCCGTAAAGATATTATATTTCATATGCCCAGGTACCCCCTGTTCTGGGGTATGGATTGTACTGATAACATCGGTACAACCTGGGAAGTGTGTATTAATGAGCAGATCGAGCGAGTCTCTGTTGAGTCCTTCCATCTGTCGTCATCTCTTTGTAAAAGGGACGGTGGAGAGGGGGACTTGGCCAGCAGCTTCCGCAGCCTTGATGCTGCAGATGTGGACTCGATGCTCGTATAAAAGTTGGCCCATGAGGCGAGCTTGGCTTTTCTAATGGCCGAATTGAAGGCAGCGAGTTTGCGCTTATATAGCTACCTGGTAGGTTCTGTGCTACTTCTCCTAGGTTCGTTGTCTTCTGCTCTCGTAGCTGTCGCTGCTTTACTATGCTGCAGGTTGACTTGAAGGACCTGCAACAAAAGATTTATCCGCTCTCTCCTCTGTGAGTGTTGCGTCGGCGACTTCGCTTGTGTCCCCGGGAAGTTCCCGCTCCGTATAGAGCCGACCCAGAGCATTTCCGTAATCGGATTCTGATGACATTTCATATCGCAGATCCCAAAAGGTGTCTTCCACATCGAACTTCATCTCGTCTTCACTGGGTGGCACTATGGTGTTCAGATTATCGGTCAGTTTGCTTATCGCTCCTGCATCCGTAGATGTTGAGTTTTATTTTATCAAACCCGTAATTGACTTAACCTTCCGTTGCGTTCAGCTGCTCAATGCAATCATTATTGAGAATTATGATGACCTGCATAGTCGCTCTTTTCGTCGCCTCCGTCTTTAAAACTCTCCAGCCCTGGGTGTTCATTTCCGGGTTGAACAGCTGAATGAGCTCTAATATTTTCGTTCGCTTCGTGGGCTTTGCCTGAACCCACGCTTTAGCTCTCTGGCGGGATGGTTAATCCTGACCTCCCATAGTAACATCAAACTATTATTGAGTCGGACATCAATAAGGATTCCACTTCCGTTATTATTATTGAAATGGAAGGATACCTATTCAAAGGAGTTAAAGGAACAAGTGACAAATAAGAATGACAAGCCTTCAGATTGGAAACGTAGCTAACACCAAGGTGGATACCACCCGCTCTGGGTGACGCTTCATAGAGTTAACAGACTCGAATGATGACCAGATATATCCAATGTACCAACCTGCTCTAGAGAGTTCATCTGGTACTCGTGGAATTCTTAGATGAGTTAAGAGTATTTGTGGCTTTCAGTACATTCTTCGAGACTTTGTCCTGACAATACAATTTCCAAAGACAGATGTCTTTGCTGCCAACGTAAGCCATATCGCTTACTGTGAGTAGCGTGTGCTCCGAACTTTTGTTCTTCCTTCCTTATGAGGAGTATTACTTCCATTTTAAAAAGTTTAACTCCTAATCCACTTCACAGTGTAGCTAGTGCGGCGTCCATTAGATTGCATAAAATTTTCGGGAACTCTCCGCGAGAGTCCTTCCCCAGGGCCCCACCTTGTGGGGTGCCTGTGCCAACGAACTTGTAGATATGCCACAATTTTGCCATTGGCCATTGTCGTTGGAACGAGTGATTCCAAAAGAAAATATGGTATTTAAGATGCCATATAAACCAAGAACGCTCTCAGGGTGCTTTCTTTGATGTCAAGTGATCTGTCTATTTTTGAAACTAGGGAGTAAAAGGCTGCATCGGTGTACCTGCACCACGGAAAATGAGTGTTGACTAGTAATTCTGATGAATTTTTGTGAGAGTCCAGACATCCGCCATCTTCACTCTGCAGAAAGGAGGGTGGTTATACCAGTAGCTATTGCACCCTTGAGGAAAGTAGCCCACGATGTGCACTAGGCCACTCTGATAGTAGACTTATAAGTGGTTAGCTTGCACTCCCAGCTGCGTTCGAGAATAAGGCTTCTAGCTTCGGGATTTTCATTTCAACAATTGACGCGAAGTTTGTCCAAATCAGTTAACCACCACGGTGTCATAGTCTAATGGTTTACACCGTAATCCATGTTCGGACAAGCCTTGTTAAAAGTATTCGTAAATACACCAACTTAGTTATCCAGTTCCTATCCCATGTCTAAATGTGACACGGATGATAAGTAGACGTAGTCCTCAGTTTGTTTTATTGCGTTCCTGGATTTTACGGAAACCAGGCTTAGCCTGAGTTGAATAAAATTATGGTGCGAGAATGAATGCTCTTTTGGAACTCCCACGAGTGACTTTTCGTAACAAAGGTTGAGTCATTACCTTTTTTGATGATAATTTAAAGGACCTCCATCCTGCTTCATATCGCTATCCTCACTTCCATAGAGCGCTGCAGATTGGAGGGGCTAGCTTCAAAGCTTTTATTTAAATTGTGTTCCTCCGACTATCCTTTTGGATCTGAAAATCAGCTTTCGAAAACGGATCCGCCACGACCCGCTGTGTGTTGGTCATTTTAACCGGGTTTTGCCGGTTATAGTGGTATGAAGCTGCCTGCCCTCTTCAGCACCATCGGTTTTCCCTTTCGCCCATTACTTTTCCACTAGTTCTGTGAGCGCACTGGTGACGTTTTGGGTAGGGTTGGCCCTTTAGTAGGGGAGAAAATAGCCAGCTTAGGCTCAGTTATCTTAGGGTTCGCCTGTTGCCCCGAATGCCTCCGTTTGCAACTAAGCTAGTTTGGAGGACCCTAGCCCGACTGATCTGTGGCACAGGTCCTATGACAACATGATCCAACCCTTAAACCCATGAAAACGTGACTATAGGGAGAGGTAGGCTATACGACTGTGTACTCCGATCATAGCTGGACATCGTCAACATAGAAGCTACGGGACTATTGTAGTACCAATACCAGTCAGCAGCCTTTCGCCGAAATTGACTGTTCACGCCGATCAAGAAAAGATTTATATACCTTCAAGGGCCTGTTAAGGAGTACTTGTCTTAAAAACTTATCAGTGGGTGTTATGGGTACATGATATAAAAATATTTTTTATACCGCACGGACTTTAAGCATTTTAAAACAAGAATCGAGTGGTAGAAATCTAGTAGGCTCAACTCTTAAAGGGTATTCTCACAAATACACCTTTGTGCTATTTTCTAAATTCATTAATTTTTTGTTAATGAATTTAAAAAATATAAGCGTTCATAAAGTCGTACAGATTCAATAAAGTAGATTTACATCAATATTGTGTCTATGCGTGACTATATGTGCAGTACTGATAACATTTTCGTTTTCGCTTTTCTGTCCCCTGCTGAAAATCTGCTGTAATATATATGATGCAATTTATTGCTCCTTATTTTCGTCACATTTGATGTAAAATAACACCCGTATTTTGTTTCATCATCTAGCAAGAATAATTTTACGGGCTTATTGTTTGCGGTAAGTCAATTTTTCATTGTAGTATATACTGTAACGAACAAAAGTATTCGGTTTAAAAACACTATTTCGTTGGGATTATAGAAAAGAGATTAATTAAATCAAGAAATATATTTCAATTAGTAATTCTTGTTTTATATTCGTCCATTGTAACTATTATATGTATGTTAAAAGATTTAATCGTTGATTTATTAATGCGTTAATTCGTTTCAGCGTCAATTCGCATTATTAAGCAGTATTGCTTATCGGAACTAATTGCTGGAATGGTCTATTGTGTGGACTGAAAATAGCGTTTAGAAATTAGTAATATTCTGGGCAACAAAACGGTTTTGATTTGGGAACTCTTTTTGTGTGAAATTGTGTTTTAAGTACTCGTTAAATAGGGTAAGATTGGCAGCTCACGACCGCAGCACAAATATTAATCCTATATAAATTTATTGATCAGAAATTTGATCGAATCATCAATTTGTGTTACTCATTTTTGTATATTCTCATAGAACTGCAATTGAACGTTTGTGGCCTGCATTACTTGAAATGTGTTTAGGCGATACTTGTATGGTCATATGTTTTTAATAATCGGTATTCGCCATATTGGCTTATCGATAATATATGTGTATTAACGAGTTTGCAAGAACGTTTTCGCACCTATTTTCCTGTGTATAAAAAGAGCTCTTTGTGGATTTCATAGTGATTAAAAATTTTATTACCGTTTAATTTGGATTGCTTTTAACCATCTGTGTACATTTTGCGTAAAAAAAGGGGTAAATTTTTAAAATCAAATACACAACCTCAAAAGTAATTTGCGTGGCTACTGTTTTGTGTACGTGTGTAAATTGCCTGTGCCATTGTCAGTATATTTTTAAATTGTGTGCAATAGTTATGTCTTATTTATTATTATTGCGTGTGCATGAGATTGAATTTCGTGTATATGTAGATATGTATGTATGTAATGTCCAAACATAAAGGCATGATTATGTATATATTCATGCTGCTTTTGTGCACGTTGCTCTTTTTTTCTATAGAAAAATCCAACAAAAATAACAACAAATCTATATGTTATACACGTACATACTGTGTACTTATATGCATGCATACCTACATATGTACATACATGCATACATGCTCATCAATATATACATATGTATATGTATATGAATGTATGCATATTTAAAAGAGCTTTAACAGCAACAGTTGTTCCTGTGAACACACTGACGCATTTGGATATGCATGTAGTATGTACATAGCTACTTATTTCCATATGCGTGTTTCTGTGGATGTACATATACATAGATGTGTTGACTCTGTTGTTGCTCTTGTCCTTACAAATGTGAACATCATTTTGGTTCTTTGTATTCGTTTTTTGTTCTTTAAATTCATTTTTAGCTGATTGCAAAATACAGTACAATAACAGTTATCCTAAAAGAATCACGATTTGAGGCAGTTGCGTGAGACTCACGTGGCCAAGAAAACGCCACATACCTTTGAGCATATGTATATATATACATATCTTTATATATAATGTATATAAAATATTTTTGTAAATACATTTTCAGTTACGCTTTAACCTTGTACGTTTTGTTGCATTGTATTGGAGAATACAGCCCGACGAGATTAAGGAACGACTTCACAGCTAAAGTGGTATCTATTTTGAACGCATCGTACTTTTCCCCTCTTTCAAATCTTATTTCGTAAGCTTGTATTGCGGCACCCCAAGCAGGGGAAACAATATCTTATATGACTTTTGAAAGATTAAGTGGTAAGTAATCGATTAGTATAAGTAGTGTAAATGTATGAGCTCGCAATGTTTTGCATAGACGTACTAGATGCGTACATATGTATGTATACACATACTCATGGACAAAATAATCGGTGTAAAGCGTAAAATTTGTGTTACATAGGAGTGTTTACTTACAACTGTAGCTGAAGTAATTAAAAAAGAGTCATATTTTGTTTCCGAAGGTAATGTGTTAACGAAAAGCAAGTAAATAGGGGTTCAATTATAATTATGGTCGTGAATGTCACATCAGTGCGGAAGTTCGAAAGCTGCGACGGTCATAATATTTTTTCCCTAAAACTCTGAAATCGGAAAACATTCATTGAAACACCAAAGCACTTTTAAAACCATCATTGTTGACCGATTGGAAGGATTTTCCGCAAAGTTCAACTTATTTAATCCACAAATTTTAATACTTATGAGGAAAAATGTTGGACCACAAAAACGTTGCGCGAATCGGAGGCTGAAAAAATAGCGTCGGTGTTGATCTGATGGCATTATGAATAGATTGTATTCAGGGATCTATTTGACACGGCCATGCGATCACTAATTTTAATCCCCAGACCTAAATTCCATTACGAACGTCTGGGCAGATTCGAGAATTCGCACAGATATTGGAAAATGTACGACAATTTTGGTACAATATTTTAATGAAAAATTGTAGGAACTTGATATCATCTATGCCCGGAGGATTGGTTGAAGTGAGTCACAATAATGGTGGATATACGTTAAATGCATTATAATAAATTTAATAAGAGACGGAACACTAACTGGTTATATTCCAATGTTACTTACTTACTTTGTTAGGTAAACTATTTTAAGTGTGTTTTTTTCACCTAGTTGTATCCGATCCCTATATCTTAGTGCATGTTAAGATAGTTTACTAATTAGTTCCGTTTAGGAGATCTATAGTCTGTTGCATATTCATTTGATTTTTGTGTAGATGTTAGGAATGCATATTTTGAAAACTAACTGGTTTCTGAAGGAGTTATGAAGAAATAAATGAACTATAATTATTTGTATAAACAAAGGAACACCTCTTATTTTGTCCATAAGTGTAAGTGTATGAACCCTTGCCTGTATAATTTTCTTTACAGCTCACTAAATATAAAATTTTAAGTTTATCCGCAATTATTTTGATAGTATGCAAAGTGCCAAAATAAATTGAAAATTGCATCATTACATCATTACATGGCATCCACCAGTTTCCTGGTGTTCTCCTTCTTCCTGGTGTTAAAAAGGAAAATAATCCGAATATTGAATTTATTTATTCATGGGTTTTCGGGAACCATAAAATAGCGATAATGCAACCGTAAATGCCATTGATACTTTGTCTCTAACATTCCACAATAAGAGACCCACATTAGAAGATAATGTCATATTTTATCGTATCACACAGTAATTGTATATTTCTTATTATAGCCTATACTTGGCTAACAAGTGTCATCATTTTAAGTGCGTCATAAGGATGTCACCGTAGAGTTATATATTGTGTGTATCAAAATTATATAACTCATTTTCAACAATTTTGAAATTAAACAACTAAACAAATGATAATATTTGTTGTTTTCGGATGTATTTCAAATATTTGTGTATAAAGATAATTTATGTGTCCATCGAATACCCCTTAGTGTAGCTTTCTAATAAAGTTTATAATCAAAACGGTTAAGGAGATAACTAATAAACCAAAATTGAACATTTTTTGGTGTCCCAAAGGCTTGTAATACCCAGAAAGAAGAACATTAGGCCACATTGTGATATAGTGATGTCCACCTATGTCGCTTCTCTGTCCTGACAAATATTTGATAGTCACTGCTGAATCTTTCCATCGGGGCTTTTTGACAAGATTAGTGTACTTAGTGGTTTAAGACGGTAAAATTATAACAGGAAGTAAGCTCTATATAAATAAAGTTTTTTAGAATTCGGTTCTAAAAATTCAATAAGAATTAGGCTACCTACGCTATGAAGAAAAGAACAATTTGCACAATCCCATAGAGACCACACCAAAAAAAAAAAACAAAAAAAAAAAAATTGTTTTTAATATGTAGTTGATTAAAACTATAGTCCTACACTGAAACACGATTTTGGGAGAGCACAGAATGACCTGCGCATGACAATACATTTAAATTGATGTAGCATCCTTGTGAGCAACCCTTGAACTGCATTATGACTGCAATATGTGGCACTGCAGCTGTTTTGTTTTATGTCAGAGCATATACATATATTTTAACATTTACATACATATTTGTAAAAAGCACTGAAATCATCTCACCTATAAATTGAAATGGGGTTTTTTTTTGCAAAAAGGCAAAATTACTCCTAATGAAACTTATGATTATGATTAAATATTTTAGACTAATGTTGAATGTAAAACACAAGATAAGTAAGATATCAGATAGAAAGTTTTACATATCTGAAACATTACATTTAAAAATTCCATCAATGACTTCACGGATTTCACATTCACGTTATGTGACCGTCTCTAATGCATCTTCAGTTTCTACTGTTAAATGCCATAAGTCATGCGCATTGAGCGTCGTATTCTCTTTACTGCTCTCTTTGCTGTTACGGGGGCTGCCGTTTCTTTTGGCCTGCAGGACGATGGTGGAAGCGCACCCGAAGTATTGCTTTTACCAAGCATCGGCTCATGGTGTTGTCGTCGTGTCGTCAATCGTTTCCAGCAAATTTATTTATCAGTGTCGAACAACGAGAGCTTCAACTTTTTCGCATTTTCTCAGCGTGAAAAATATTCACACAATTTTGTAAAAAAGCAAATAAAATCTTTTTCGTTAAAAAGGAAATTTCCAAAATTTGCTGCTTAATTTTAAAATGTAAACCTGATATGCAAATGAGTTCTTTTTTGCCTCACATTGGCATTAAAATTATTGAATTTTCAAGTGTCCGTGTGTGTACGCAATTTGTCTTTTTTTTAGAGAACGTTTTGTTTTTGTGAAAATGGTATTAATTTAATTTACGTTTTTAAATTATCGTACAGCTTTTTATAATTTACAAGTTGGTTCAAAAGTTCCTTTTTTAAAATTTCATCCTTTCCCTTGATGTCTGTAAAGTGTGCATACTACACATATGTAAATAAAACATGTGTATTATATTTCATTTAAACTTCATTCAAATAATGTACTTATTTTATGTACTATACAGAAAAGTTACAATATATATTTGATAAATGCACGAAATACGCAAATGAAACTGACAGCTAAATTAAGTTTATCATCAAGTTGGCCAAAAAGTGCAAAACACTAGAATTCACGATACAAATTCATACCATTGACAGCCTAAGACCAAGACACAAGTTGAACAAAGATAGAAAAGTTGTGGTTGAAGAATTGCATTAGCTTGGAGTTTATAATATCTAACGGATTTCCTTATTTATTTGCACGCTTAGTTGAAACGAGTTCATAGCCTCGTGACCGCATCCAAAACCATTCGCTGCTGTAACTTACTTGCAATCAATCGTCGTTTGTTTGTTTTATTTGCTTTCATTCTCGATTTGTTTATGTCAACGCGCGGCGTGGAACGTTGGGATCACACCAATAACAACTTCAAATACAATTATCAATTTAAATTGGATTCGCAAAAATATGAAATTGCAGACGCCACAATTGAAGCTAAATCTGTGACATCACAGCTGATATCGGTCGACGCCTATTTGCGTGTTGCTACCTTTATCATCAGTACGTGCAGTTGTTGGTCATCGCCGTCACCAGTATATTTCAGCAAGGTATTCAAATTGAGCTTTGCCAACCTGTCGCTGCACAAGCAATCGCCGTTCAAACTTCTGACCGTGCTCCTACTATTGCTCGTGACAACGTGTTTTAAGAGCGATCTCTATCATATGCTGGGCAATTTTTTGATCAAACGACAAACTGTGGCCATCACCTATGACCTCAGCGGTAAGTATGATAAATGTAAACTTTGACTGATCCATAGGTATTTGCGATAGTTTGACTTTAAAATTGCTGTGCCCACAACAAAACCCCATTTCATTTTAATCACAACTCCTACAGACCATTCAAAAGTTTCGGGAGTTGGAATTAAAAAAAGTCGATATACGCCGATATACGGTATTTTAAATACCTTTAATAGACTAAAGCGGTGGGCACGAAATTTTTAATCGGGAGTACTACAATAACATCATATTATGAGTGAATTTTGCTGAAAATCAAGCAACGACACACGCACTGCGTGTATTTTGTTTGGCTGGCGACCACTGCAAGTATTTTGTTTTTGTAAGCTGCTCGCGATCGGTACTTTTCTTGTTTGAGTGGCTTACGCCGCTTACCCAAACCTTAACAGAAAGAAGACTGGGAGCCGAAAGAACCACTACGTGCCCCCGTTGGACCAAACCCTCACATAAGGTTTTTATTTTCTTTCAACCTCGCTAGAAAATGCAAATCTTTAATTGAAATTGTTTAAGCAGAACAATTATATACGCTATACATGTTTAAATCAATAATTTATCAATGCAATTTATTATTGTCAACGAGTGGTTTTTGCCACGACATACGAGTACATATATACGATATGCCAAGATCCAGTATAAACGTTTGTGTCACAGGGTTGAACTCCAGTTATACGCTGGTGCACAGCTCTTTGACCATCCTCTTCGAAGCGTGTTTTCTCATACTATGACCAATTCGTCCACTGTGGTTATCCCTAGGTTGGCTAACCACACATTTTGACAAAAGAGTACGTGTGGGTAGTCTTCTTGGAAAAAAGTGCCAGAATGCGTCGACATGATTATATATTTTGCTTTTTGAATCTAGCACAACTTGATTCGTGGCTCAATATACCATATCGCTTTATGCTGTTGTGCATTATCGAGTTAGCTATCCTGTAGTCACTGCATACAGCTAATTTTGTTGACATATTGGCTGCATCGATCAAGATGGACAAGATGCCAATAGATTTGTTTTGTCAATTTATTTGACCGATTTCTTATTGACTGGTTTTTATTTTGCTCTTGTATACATTTCTCTACATTAAAATTTGTTTCGTTCATAGCTTCATTCTACGTTTGTATTTTTTGGTTAGTACAATTGTTCTTCCAGAAGCTCTACTATTGCTTATACTTCTGATTCAATGGGATCCTTCTCATTTCCACGTCGTTGTTCAGATTGTGGCAAACGTGGTCCTTAGACATCTTTGGTGATCACAGCAATCTCCTCTTACTTTGATTCGCCTTTCATCCAAAAACATTGAGCAGAAAAATTTACCAATTTTGCGTCTAGGGGCAATGCTTTATAGCAACCCTACATTCGGAAAAGGCCATATCGTCGATCAATTCGTCTCGTTGTCTCATATCACGAATTCGAATTTTTAGTAATCTTTTCCCATTTACGTACCGCCGGGTATTGTAAATGGTGCAATTTTTTCGGTGGTTTTTTGTTTACTTCATTTTCATTTTCCAATGATATTCTGCATATTCAAATTAGAGAATAATATAATTTAGATTGACTAACGACAAATTGGATGTTTACTCATTAATAGAAACATGTCTGTTTAATATAAATTTCGATTGTTATGATCACCTAAAGCAACATTTCTGCATGAATGGTCTATGTTGTTATGTACTACTATATATATACACGTATGTATGTGGTATGGCTTAATTAATATTATGGTTAATAGTATTTGCCAGAGACTTTGGCGATAATATCTATTACCATTGAAAACAATTACTTAAATTAAAAAAAATATTTGCTCTTAAATATCAACACAGTTGAAGACATACTATGCATATGTTTAGGTACAGCTTCAAGAGCATTCATATACATCGGTATTGTGTCTATGTGTGTGTATGTGCCCAACACAGGGTTAATTCAAAGCAAAAACCACAACAAAACTTCGGGCATAGATTTATGCCAATAACATTCTGTACAATTTGCCTGTGGTAATAAAACTGATGAGGGCATATTGAATCTAACTGGATGTACCTCTCAAATTTGTTTAATAGTTCTAAGAATTGTGGGAGCTATGCAAAATCAGAAATAGGTGGTGGGTTACTCGATCAGACTCGATCTGTCCAAGGTTTGGTTATTTAACATCTTGTAATTTCTTCTTCCTGTTAAACTGATAATATAATAAGAAAATATATATTCTTCTGTGTGTTACACACATTCACGCAAAACTAGTATACTAGTATATAGTTGTATGATGGGAGTTTGTGTCTTTCCTTTTATCTTCAATCTTGAACTACATAAAGGAAACTCTCTCTATGTAAAAAAGGGTATTTGTTACCAGTGGGTCTTAATTTGTCAAGACCGTGATAGTAAAAGCGTAGATTTTTTTTCACACCAGTAAAGGCTTTGATGCTTTACCGAACTAGACTGCATTTCCCTAAATGTCATTGAATTTCATTTGAAAATAAACTATGCTCTAAGCTATACTTTTAAAATCAAAACAGTCCAAATATTAAAAACAGATCTACCGAAATTCTCAGTGTAAAACTCAAATTCGCAGTAACTTCTTTCTCTCTCGTTGACAAAATACCAAAAAAAAAAAACTCAAGTGCACGTAGAAAATCATTTTTGCACATTACAATAAAATAAGAAACCAAACAGAACAAAGACAAAACAACATTGTGGTTAAATTTGATTAATACGCTGCCAAGAAGAGAACGGTTGCAGTTTAAGCTAGCAGTGAGGCGGTATACTATGCCGAGAGAGCGAGTGAGCGAACAAATTCTTATATGTAAATTGAAAAGCGGTGGAAAACTTAACAAATTGGCCTTCCTAATGTTGCAAAACTTAATTTACCTTAAGCTAATGCTGCAATAGCTGTAAATTGAAATATTGGTAAGGGAGAGAGCATTTATTTATTTTACATAATTGTGTTACTTTATTATTTCAGAAGCTCCAGCAAAAAAAGGCGCACCCCCAATTCAACAAAAACGGAGTAAAGGCTTTGAGCTGTGCATGAATTTAAAGAGGCGAATTATAGGTCATCGGTAAGTGCCAATGCAATGCAAACCGTAGAAAAGGCGGTCAGAACAGCATAAAAAACATCTATAAATAACAAAATCAAGCATGTTGCATTTGAGATTGATGCGTGTAACCACGACTTCATATGTTTGTTTCTAAATTGTTTTATTATTTTTTGAAACCGTTACAACAAATTGTGTGGCAAGCTTTTATATTTCAAAGGAAAATTATTTCAATACCTTTTTTTGTTTTGTATCGAAGATGTGCCAAAACGAATTTATATCAGTTAACGAAATTCTTTCTTGTCACCTACCCTGTGAAACCTTGCTCTTACCGTTTAGGCTGCGCGTTATTCCCCAATCTGGCAGTCAGTCAGGACAAGCTGTTTTATACATGTATATAAACTGAGATATAGCCGATTAATATTATATGCCTATCTAATTGGGCGCAGCAATATTTATATATTCTTTATGACGCTTTCTTAGACACAACCACAAAATCATGAAAAAATATGCTGACTCCTCAATAAAAGTAATAAAAAGATTTTAAATTTTTTATTATTACTTAAAATTTTTATTGAAATTAATACAATAAATTAAATCACCACGGAGTGGAGCATAACATAAGCTAATATATCATGTGCATTAATGATATGAATCGAAAATGGTGGTAAAAATGTTTAAAATGTTTTTAAATCTCGAAGGCTGGAATCAAATCGGTTTCATTTGTACTTGTGCTTTCCCACCTATGAATTTGTAACCGTTGTGGAATTATAAATTTGTTACAATTAGCCGATATGACACAAACACAAAGGTTTTTGGCTTGCGGCTGTAGTTAGTACATCATTTTTGAGGTACATCGTGCATCCTTATGATGCTGTATGCATTCAGAACAATCTAATATGTGCCGCCTTTGGGCATTAAACCTCCATTTTAGCGCAATATGATATATGCAGTCTCAGATCCTTAGTTAGGCTCTGTATATGATTAGGTCAAATAAATAAATTACTGTAAATTGATAGCACTTAATACCTTCTTTTTTGCAGGACTTCAAGTAACAGACACCGGAAGCTGCAGCCATTCAGGTACACGTGAACCTATAGCAGTGTCGTTCCAAAATTATTTTGCTAACAAAAGACACCACAAGCAAACAAAATTTAAACTCTCATCGGTAATAAGAAACTAAAATTTCGTACATACACCTACAAAGACAATACGCCCGCATATGCATATTTAAAAAAGAAATTGAAGCAAAAATAAACAAATAAAAAACAATAGTCTTAGAAGCAAAAATACATAAAATAAAATTCAAATGCAAGCCAATGCCCAGTGAACGAAACAATACGAAGTCGTGGACAGTTTCCAGTTTTAAACGTAGCGTATTTACAATATCCATCTCTAGTTAGATTGTTAAGCATAAAGTTGAGCCAGTGGCTAACGCCAAAGTGAAGCAATTGCCACAAGTAACAATAAATACAAAACGCGCATAGAAACGCGAGCGAACCGTGAGCGAATCAAATTTAATGAACGGAAACGAAAAATCAAGAAATTGCAAAATAGTTGCAGAATTCAACGAATTGGCACAACAAGCTGCCGCACATAAAGCCCTTAAACATTCAAAATTAGGAAAGTGGTGAAGGTCTCCCGTCCCCATTCAGTTAGCGGCCACCACGCCGTACAACAATAGAACTCGTAAGAACCGCTCACTCACCTAGTTATCGTTGCCTTAAGGGAGTTGCTAAAACATCACCGACAACAGCTTTAAGATGGCCACCGTTAATGTAAACCGAAGTGTGACGGATATTTTCTACCGTTACAAAATGCCGCGCCTGCAGGCCAAGGTCGAGGGTAAGGGCAATGGCATTAAGACCGTGCTCGTAAATATGGCTGAAGTTGCGCGGGCTATTGGACGTCCTGCCACATATCCTACCAAATATTTTGGTTGCGAATTGGGTGCCCAAACGCAATTCGATCATAAGGTAAGTGATTATATTTATGTGATTATTTATTATTATTATTATTTGTTGTTGTTGTAATATTCCTCAACTTATAGTCTAACCAAAAAATGTAGAATGCTTGTTACCACTGACACACTGAAGTTTATATACATATGTACATATAAAGCTATACTTAAGCCCTTGCTAATGTTGTCATAAATGGCAATTCTATACCGAACTGGGACCAGAATATAAAAGTTATTCCTATGGTAGCTTTATGTCATGGTATTTAAGTTCTGGGCACATCTGAGTTGTTGTATTTTATAGAATTCTACAGATACAATTTGGTAGGAACTTTTTTCACATACTTTGCGTAACCCATGGACCTTAATAGTATTAGTATCCGCACCACATGCATTATCGGCAGACCACTCGGTGCTTAGTGACCATGCTTCAACGTGATAAAAATTGAAGAAGTTGTCATCTTTTATTGTTATCCAGTTGGGCAGTGACCTCAACCCACCTCTACCCACTTGGGTTTGTTGGCACGTGGGAACGTTTGTTTCCAACGTTATTCACTTTCTTTGACTTTACTTTTTGTAGTCTGTACATGAGATGTACAAGATTATATTAGGTGTGCGGGATGTGAAAAATATAACAAGCAGAAGGAGGCATGACATTCCCCACAAAGTATATGTATTCTATATCAGCATAAGTCAATCTAGTTCTGTCTGTCCGTCCGTATGATCTCATAGAACTCAGAGATTATATGAGATACAGATACCAAATTTTGTACACAAATGCCCTATGTATGTAAGCTATACGAGTTTGTTTTATTTTTTTGATACACCCCTCGCTTTCGGAAACGCCGTTTGTATAATCACCTATATCTCGGAGACTAAGATCTAGCAACACAACATTTTATTCCAAGTTACCTTATATGAATATGCAGAAAATTTCAGTGGTTTTTTATTGTTTTTGTATCAAGGCAACCAGCTGTCATTTTTCAAAGAGTAAAGCAAGTAGTAACTGAAATAATTTCGAATGCTAGCTGCGTGTTAGCGACGGGGAAGAATTATTAGCGAAAAAAAAACCGACTAATTGTTTATTCAATCAATATAAAGGTGTGAAGACTATTATTTATAAATCAGAGATATAGATAGCTTTACGGTACGATCACAACATTATTTACATAACTCTGACCTTATTTCGAAATATGTACATATAGAGTAGCGTCGATGGAAGCCCATGATTAAGTAGGAAATAACTTCTTGTTATAATACAGGAAGGAACAGCAGTAGTTGACTTGACTCATTTGCTACCAATATGATCACCTATTTGTTTATATAACTTATTTTCAGAATGAACGTTTTATTGTTAATGGTTCGCATGACGTCAATAAGTTGCAAGATCTTTTGGATGGATTTATTCGCAAGTTTGTGTTGTGCCCGGAATGCGACAATCCTGAGACCAACTTGAGCGTATCGGCCAAAAACCAAACCATTTCCCAATCTTGCAAGGCATGCGGTTTTCACGGTCTCCTTAAGGTGAATCACAAAGTCAATACATTCATTGTGAAGAATCCTCCATCGCTGAATCCGGCTGCTCAAGGCTCTTCCTTAACCGAAGGAAAGCGTTCGAAACGCGTACAGAAGCAGAAGAATGAGAATTCCGATGGGTCTATGTCAAACAATTCGATGGCAAACAATTCGGGCGGGGAGTCTGATGGCGGCAACGGCACTAATCAAGCAAGTCAAACGGAAGCAGAGATTCGTTCGGCTATTCCGGAAAAGAGTATGTCTGATGATGATGATGATGGTGGCTGGAGCGTTGATGTGTCCAAGGTAAGCTGCGGCGCAGAATGTAAATAGTGTAATCAGATTACAGTTAACGAGTAGATATTGCGTACATCAAAGATCTGTTGTCGGTAGAAGTATAAAAACAAATAATATAAATTATCTAATTTTATTAACATTCCGATTCCAGGAAGCTATACGAGCTCGCTTGCAAGATTTGACGGATGGCGCCAAAGGGATGACAATTTCCGATGATTATGACAAGACCGAAAAGGAGCGAATAGACATTTTCTATGAGCTGGTGAAAACCAAACGCGACAAGGATAAGTTAAATGATGTGCCAACGCACAAGGAGCTGTTAATTGAGGCTGAACGTCTAGATATTGTGAACAAGGCGCCTCTTGTGTTGGCTGAGCTTCTATTTACAGAGAACATTATAAGCGATGTGCGAAAAAATCGCAACCTTTTATTGCGTTTTACCCACAATAATCCGAAAGCCCAGCGTTATTTGATTGGCGGAATTGAGCAAACCGTGGAACTCCATACGAATACACTAATGGGGAAAGTTGCAGGCATCTTTAAGATCTTCTACGACATGGACATTCTCGATGAAAAGGTTATTCTTGATTGGGCACAGAAGGTTAGCAAGCGACATGTGTCCAAGAAGATAGCCACCGAAATACACGAGAAGGTGCAACCGTTTGTGCAGTGGCTCAAGGAAGCTGAGGAGGAGGAATCATCGTCCGAGGAAGAAAACAATGGTGGTGGGGATTCGGATGTTGAGATAGAATATGATGATCGAGCTCGTGTCGAACCCCTTAAGGTGGCTGGAGTCGGTGGCTCGACCGTCAATAAGAAAAAGATTGAAGACGAAGAGGAAGGGGACGAGATCGACATCGACGAGATCTAAGCTATGGCGCGCATAGGTGTGTATATATATATATCTATATATATCTACATATATCTATATATCTACATATATATATACATATATATATTTATATATTATTATATACACTGTATGTGTTAATAGTGAAAGGGGGCTGACAAGTGTCTATCTGTTAATCCATTTGTAGCACTATCAAAATTTTAGCAACGACGATAACAGGAAACTATTTTTCCAATAAAAGGCCAATTCGCTGGAGAAACGAACACATCTAATCGGCAATCTAATAAGCAGTTAACTGTTATTATGCTATCCATACCATGTGGTACAATTGTATTACAGTAGCAATAATAACTACGCGTTTAGGCAAAATACAAAACAGTCTGGCTTATTTGACAAAACAGTGCTACTGGCCGCACAACCGTTTATGATTTCCCGCTTCATTCGATTTCAATTGTGAGCATTATCAACTACCGTACTGGAAGAATAGGCACTGAAGCTCATTTCATAATTTGAATAGTAGAGTTACAAACATGTTTTCATTACAATAGCATAAATCCAAAAAGTTAATTTCCTGCTTTTAATTCCTAGTTACATATATACTTTTTTTTTTGCCACCATATCATTCTTTAAAACTTTTCTTTATTAATAAGATAAATAAATTTTAAAAGATTTTTTACCAAATATGAAATAGAGTGTGGTAAATGATTAATTTTTAAGTAAAGTACTTATTAGGCTTAACATTGTAAGCAAAACGAAAGCTACACTATTTTTGCAGATGTAATTTGTAATTTGATTTAATTACAACAAAATTATTTAAAGGGTGATTAAAGCAAAGGTTTGCGTTCTGAGTGGCACGTTGTAAGCAATAATATTGTCAACTTTTAACCCATTGAATATACAATTAATAAGAATAAATATAAACATAAACAGAATTATTTAAATATGCAGCTTCTTGTGCTTTCAAGTGCATGCGTTAAAGAGATAACAAAATTACTATTCAATTAAAATCTTAAATATATGCACATGTATATACATATAAAATAAATAAAAAAAAATTTTAAAACAAAAAATAAAAGTATTTGAATTTTGATGAACACACTGAATGTAGGTAGAAAACAAAAACAAGACCCCTAAAATATAACTAAAATATTCCTCCTGTTTTCGCAAGCCTACCACACTGCCTGTTGCTTCGAATGAATAACCAAAAGGACGAAACCCCATATAGTCGAATTGATATCAGTTCCGAACCAGGAGTTTTTATACCCTGTAGCGAAAGGGTGAAAGGGTATGTATCAGAGAACTGCAACAAGTATGATCGAGTATGTTTGACCACCCTTGCTCAAAATTCAATCAAACAGATCTTTGCTTGGCTGCAAACGAGCTCGAACGAGTTGAGTACTCTCAGCATTTTTCTTATGATCGAACTTGCATGAGCAATCTTTCTATTTTTACGAACAACCACCGGACTTGATTGGTTTGCTTTCGAGCACACCAGGCTCGGTCACTTTGCTTATTGCGGTCGGTTCGAACGAGTACCGGCCTTGACTGGTTTGCTTTCAAACAGTTCAGGCTCGGCCACTTCGAGTATTCTGTTCGGTGCGAACAGGTACTGGGCATGATTGGTTTGATTTCAAACACTTCAGGATCGGTCACTTCGTTCAAAATGACTGAGTCCTGATCGAAGCAAGCCAGACTTTGCAGAATGAGCGTTTGATCGAGCGAGTATAGTGCCGTTATGTGTTGAGTATTGTTTGGCTATTGCGCGAGCTGTACTCGGGTAATACTCGAGTATTGCGCGGGTTTTACCCGAGCCTGACCGTAGGTACCTGCGTCTGACCGTACAAAAAATGCATGTATGCACATATGTATGTATGTATGTATGTATGTATGTGCGTGTATGTTATGGTTGGAATTATGCGGAAACATGTGTAGGTACGTATTTTAAATAAAGAGGCACAGAATTAAAGCAAAACATATTTATGCATTTATTTTTCTATTATGATAAATATGTAGCATGATGATAAAAAAGAAACTCAAATATCTTAGAATAAATAAATAAAAATAGCATAACCTTTTGTAATTTAAATAAAAAGGAAGGTATTTCATTTCGCTAATAGTTTTGTTGGATTCTTAATTTATATGCATATATGTACATACTTGTAAACGAAGTTACTATTGAACTAATAGCCGAAAAAACAATAGAAAATGCAAGTGCACGTGCACCCGCCGATATCATTGGTCATTTCGGTCATGCGGGCATGATTTTAATACGACGTTCGATCATTTCTTGCACGCAGGCAAAAAGTTTCGGTCATCGCCGCTCATCCTGAGTCTTTGCAGTTGTGAGTCGAACTGACTGGTTGGTGAGCGTTCGTTTAAAATCAATCATTGCTTGTCACTATACCCAAATGAAATAATCATACCGAGTATGGGTAAATACTCGAGTATGACCGAAAATGTAGTACTCGTTGCAGTTCTCTGGTATGTATGTATGTAACGCACAGAAGGAGGCGTGGCAGACCCCACAAGGTATAAATATGCATTATAAGAAGACAAGATGGGACCGCATGTCTGTCCGTATGAACGCAAGGATCTCAGAAAGTATAAGAGCTAGAGCAGCCAAATTTGGCATCCAGATTCTCCCATGTCTGAGACAGTAAGAGTTTGAGTTTTTGATAGGTGAATTACGAACGAAGTTATAGCCGTAAATGTAATTTCTGGCCACAGCTGTGGTTTGTTGTTGCTGCTTTAACTTAATTCTGTACTGCATGTTAATGTATGCTGCTAAAACTGTGCATAAACATACATATGTCTCCACTATGTACTTGTGGGTATTTTTTGGTTTTGCTTAAATTTGTTGAAGTGGGTACGGGTATTTAAGAGTTCAGCCTGATCGACTATAGCATTCCTTTCTTGTTTTGGTTTATCCAGCTTCGATGTCTAATTCAGGTGCCATATGCTGCTTTCCCTTTAGTTTAAGGTTATTTACCGTGTCCTTGCTTCCGGCAAGTTAGTTTTCAGTCGCCTTATTGTTCAAATACCTGGTCTTATGTAATATAGTTAGCGTTATCTCTATACATCACAGAGTATAGTGCCTAGCAGCCTAACATGGGGTTGGTAGACTACGAAACCTAGTTTTAATCTTTATGTATCCAAAGGGTAAAAGGCTGTACTAGTTTTGTGCGAATGAGTGTAACACACAGAAAGAGGCGTGGAAGGCCCCCAAAGTGTATATATTTTTGATCAGGGTGACAAACTGAGTCGATATAGCCATGTCTGTCCGTCCGTATGAACACAAGGATCTCAGAATCTATAAGAATTCGAACAACCAAACTTGGTATCCAGATTCTCCTAAGGCCGAGAAAGGACGAGTTTATTTTATGTTTTGGAATGTCAGAAGTGTCGGAAGTTTACCTGAGTACAGGGTATTTCACTGTCGGACTTGCGTTCCAAAGTATACAGAACTATTTGAATCTAGCGCCCCCTGGTGGAGCTATATGTCGACTAGTGCGTTAGAATCTGCTATCGATTGTCCAGTGAGAATTTCATGACATTTCATCGATTGGAAGTGAAGTTATTGCGTTTTAAGTGTTAGTATGTTTGTGTTATCGATGAGAAAATAAGCTTCGAACAAAGAGCCAACATTAAATTTTCTTTTAAAATTGGTAAAACTTTTACTGAAACGTTTCAATTAATGGAACAAGTTTATGGCGATGATTGCCTATCCCGTAGCAGAGTGCCCGAGTGGTTTCAACGTTTTCAAAGTGGTCGTGAGGACATAAATGACGATCAACATGTGGGCCAATCAAAATTCGTGATCACCGAAAATTCCATCGAAACTGTGCGTGAATTCATCAAAAATCAGCTGAAATCATCATTGAAATTGATGGAAATGGAATTGAACATCTCCAAAACATCGATTTATCGCATTTTGACCGAACATTTGGGCTTACGAAAGATGTGTGCTCAGACGATCGACGCTTGTGACCGATTATTTGACCAAAAATCACATTTTAACCATTAACCACTCGCCGTATTCACCTGAATTGGCACCGTGCGACTTCTACCTTTTCGGAAAAATGCATTTGCCCATGAAAGGAAAGCGGTTTGCAGACGTAGAGGCCATTCCAAAGGCTTGCACCGGCATACTGGCGGCCATACCGGCCAACGAGCTGAAACACTCGATCGACATGCTTTTGGATCGTGTAAAAAGCTGTATTGAAGCAGAAGGAGACTATTTTGAATAAAATAAATTGATTTTGCCGAAAAAACCATTTGTTCTGTTTTTTTTTTGTTAAGTCCTGTTTATTTTGGAACACACCTTGTATATACTTTATGGGGTTAGAGATGCTTCCTTCTGCATGTTACATACTTTGCACAAACCTAATATACCCTTTTTACCCTACGTGTAAAAAAAATCCCGCATGTGGGAACTGTGTGGGAGTCGGGGCTATCGTGGGAACTGTGTGGGAGCCGGGGCTAGCCTGGAGGGCCGGGGCTATCGCTGGCCTTGTACTTGACCGCAAGCCGCTATCGTTGGCTTTGTACTTGGCTGCGAGCCGGGGTTTGTGGTTAAGATAAGATGGTTAAAGTTCTCTATAAATACTTCATGGTTTGTAAAATACGAATCAGAATAGTTGCAAACACCAGCGCTGTAAAGAATACAAAAAAAAAAAAATGAAGTTTATTTTATGTGAAGTGTGTGGACAACGTTATCAACATAACACATCCTTAAGGCGTCACATAAGGAATAAATATGATTCAAACAACATAACATCTAACGCAACACGTTCAAACAACACACCATCTAGCACAACACGTTACTGTAATTTATGCGATGAACATATTCCAAACGTTAAATGGTCGCACCATTTACGTACTAACTTACATAAACAGTTATCTAGTGTTCAAACAGATGATAACATAAGATGCATAAGAAGTGTATTTCAAAATCGTATTGCAGCGTATATAATCGAAAATCCTAATAAACCATGCTTAAATATTACTGTGTTTTTTCAATTAATCAACGAGCAAGTGATTAAATTAATAAAAGACGCGCTACAAAAACACATTAATATAAAGTTTAATTTTGAACTATTTTGTAATTACGTTTTAATTAAGACAAGTGAAGACTATTGCAAAGTCGACCTTAAATCACATCAAACGAAAATGAGAACTTTACACTCTACAATGATCGATAATGAGGAGGAGGAGGAGCTAAATGAAATAATCAATAATTCATATAATTCTATAAAAAATTAAATGAGTGAATTTCAGGAACGAGACAGCGGTTGGTCATTAACTGAAATAGTGCATTTAGAAGTAAATATAAATAAATATCAGCCGTTAAAGGGCTCAAATTACATTTGTTTACCTCGAAAAATATTAAATAAAGGAGCCTGTGTTAATGTACAAAATAATGATATATATTGTTTTAAATGGGCATTAATATCAGCCTTCTTTGCTTATGATGATGATGATGATGCCGCTGTTACTTACAATAGTAATCGTGAACGTGTTTCTTTATATAAACGAAATGGAATTACTAACATTGAATCAGATATAATTACTGTGAAAAATAAAACATTAAATTTTGCTGGAATAGAGTTTCCAACACCGGTTGCTAGCATTAAAACATTTGAGGACAATAATCCTGAAATTGGTATAACTGTTTTTGGATTGGAAGATTACACCACAATAATCGGACCATATTATTTTACTAATAATAAAGCTAGTAATGTATTACGACACATACACTTGTTACTTCTCGAAAAGGATGATAAATATCACTATGTTTGGATTAAAAACATTTCAAGGTAACTATATATATATATATAATATATGCATACACACACTAGAAAT